ACTTAACATCGCCCCCCCCCCTCTAACATAAAGTGACGTATCCTACCATCCTGCCTTCAACTTAACATCTCCCGGCTTCTAACATAAAGTGACGTATCCTACCATCCTGCCTTCAACTTAACATCTCCCGGCTTCTAACATAAAGTGACGTATCCTACCATCCTGCCTTCAACTTAACATCCCCCCTCTAACATAAAGTGACGTATCCTACCATCCTGCCTTCAACTTAACATCTCCCGGCTTCTAACATAAAGTGACGTATCCTACCATCCTGCCTTCAACTTAACATCGCCCCCCCCTTTAACATAAAGTGACGTATCCTACCATCCTGCCTTCAACTTAACATCCCCCCTCTAACATAAAGTGACGTATCCTACCATCCTGCCTTCAACTTAACATCCCCCCGCTTCTAACATAAAGTGACGTATCCTACCATCCTGCCTTCAACTTAACATCGCCCCCCCCCTCTAACATAAAGTGACGTATCCTACCATCCTGCCTTCAACTTAACATCGCCCTCCCCCTCTAACATAAAGTGACGTATCCTACCATCCTGCCTTCAACTTAACATCCCCCCCTCTAACATAAAGTGACGTATCCTACCATCCTGCCTTCAACTTAACACCCCCCCCCCTCTAACATAAAGTGACGTATCCTACCATCCTGCCTTCAACTTAACATCCCCCCCTCTAACATAAAGTGACGTATCCTACCATCCTGCCTTCAACTTAACACCCCCCCCCCTCTAACATAAAGTGACGTATCCTACCATCCTGCCTTCAACTTAACATCCCCCCCTCTAACATAAAGTGACGTATCCTACCATCCTGCCTTCAACTTAACACCCCCCCCCCTCTAACATAAAGTGACGTATCCTACCATCCTGCCTTCAACTTAACATCCCCCCCTCTAACATAAAGTGACGTATCCTACCATCCTGCCTTCAACTTAACACCCCCCCCCCTCTAACATAAAGTGACGTATCCTACCATCCTGCCTTCAACTTAACATCCCCCCCTCTAACATAAAGTGACGTATCCTACCATCCTGCCTTCAACTTAACACCCCCCCCCCTCTAACATAAAGTGACGTATCCTACCATCCTGCCTTCAACTTAACATCCCCCCCTCTAACATAAAGTGACGTATCCTACCATCCTGCCTTCAACTTAACACCCCCCCCCCTCTAACATAAAGTGACGTATCCTACCATCCTGCCTTCAACTTAACATCCCCCCCTCTAACATAAAGTGACGTATCCTACCATCCTGCCTTCAACTTAACCCCCCCCCCTCTAACATAAAGTGACGTATCCTACCATCCTGCCTTCAACTTAACATCCCCCCCTCTAACATAAAGTGACGTATCCTACCATCCTGCCTTCAACTTAACCCCCCCCCCTCTAACATAAAGTGACGTATCCTACCATCCTGCCTTCAACTTAACATCCCCCCCCCCCTCTAACATAAAGTGACGATGGTAGAACACGGTGACATTTATGCCGTGGCTGATCTGATCTTCATTGAGGAGTCTTCATCAGCGTTCCCCTAACTCTTTAGTTGGACGGACCGGTGGACAAGTTTCGACGTTGCATAAGGGACCGGTGCCAAATTTATTACTTGAATGTTGACAAAATGTATGGTGTGCGGACATGGGTCCGCGGACGACCATTTGAACATCGCTGCTTTAAACGATAACGAGTTACCTTAATAAGTGTAAGAACCGCTCTGAATTTTACCGAATTTATTTTGAATTATCCTGATTATGTCTTTAATAATTCATTTTTTACAGTGAACAAATTAGAAGAAGAAAAAAAGTAGGGGGGAGAGGGTGTACATGAACAAACAGTAGGGCCGCTAAGAGAAAGACTCTAAGTGTTCTGATGAGCCCTGCTTCAAAATGCTTCAGACTTTCTGCATTGCAATACGATAATGGCTAAATCAACATCCAAATATATCTTATACAGCTGTACTGTATCTTGAAGTGTCATTCTGGTTAAAATAACAGTCACTGTGGAATTGTCCTAAATTAAAATAGGACCCATTCGCCTTCTCACCAAAAACAAGGGAAAAAAACACACAAAAAACCCGGCCATAAATGAGGCTGGGCTAGATTTGTAAACACACCATCATTAGAGAAACCATGGACTTCACCTTTTTTTCCATATTATTATAAATACAATACAAGTCTAAGACTAAGACTGAAATAGAAAAGAAAGTCAACTCTCCAAAAGAAAAAAAAAGAGTTATATACACTATTGTTTTATTGTTGAGATATGAGGACATAATGAGAGTTTATCATTGCACATTAGGGTTATCTGTACAAATACAGGTCAAATAGATATATCAATACACCTACAAATACAGGTCAAATAGATATATCAATACACCTACTAACATTAAGTTGAAGCATAGAATCAATTGGGAAGGTAAAAAAAAAGGACCCCCTTTCTGCATTTAAAGATTTTTTTGATTACATGTGTTATAATAGTAATAATAAATATAAGGGTAGGCAAATGTTGAACTTCAATGTTTGTTTTATTTGGAAAGAAGACCGCAGTGACACACCCATCTCTCTTACATTCATAATTCATTATAATGTTAGAACCACTGCTCAAACTAAGCAAATGAAAATATCAAAATGTTCACATCCAACCCAAACACTTGAAAAAAGGTTCAAGTCCACATATGTTCACATCGACAAGTCTCCCCTAACAGCTGGGTTTCTAAATTCATAAATAGGTTAACAAGAGTATCCACTATATTAGCATTACAAAACAAAAAAAAGGTTTAATGACTACACGTTCGGTTATTTATTCATATAAATGACACGGCAAGACCTAACTCAAACACTGAGAATAATATGATAAATCGACTACCTCTTCTAGTGCTATGTAACCTTCATCTACAATTTGCTATGGTGGAAAAACATCATGATTTGGTCAGTGAACGCATCGCACCAACACTCTCCACCTCTCCTTATCAATGTTTCAAACCCAAAGAGTTTTTGAGAGCATGAATCATCACACACCTCCGACCCCCCCCCCCCCCCNCCCCCCAATAAAGCTTGATTAAAATTTGGTCATTATAGAGATAAATGAGGTTGGAAAAAATGTGGATGCAACATCTCAGGATGGTGAACATCCTATATGAGGCCAAAATAGAAACAATTACACCACATACTCTTGGTCAAGTATTTTTATTATACCTTAAGTAAAGAAAAAAAAAATTTACTTGATAAAAAGGCTACACATTATTTTCATTAGCAATTTACATCTTTCTTAATTGAAAATAGTGGAATAAAGCCGTTTGCTTTCACATGCTTTAGTTTGCTTTCACATGCTTTAGGAATTATTATTTTTAAAAAAATAACATTGTCAATGACAATTTAGTTTTCTTTTTAAATTATCTATAACCTCCATTGTGTTTAATTAGGTCAAGTTGTAGCATGCAAGTTTTTGTTCCTCTTTAGCTCCATCACATTGCATCCACACACAAATCAAAACTACCGGGTACCCTATTTGTGATGGACCACATCAATTCAAACAACAGTTTTCATATGTTGTGTCAGATCTGGCCAGTTATTTCAAGTCTTTGTTCCCTTCATGCTTTCTTCATGTCTTGGGATACTGTACACAGCTTCTTTCAGATTATTTAGTGATAAATAAGATAAGTCGTTTTGTACAGTTATAGACAGTGGGTGAGTGTGGGGGATATTGAACAAACAGCAGAGCCACCAAAAGCAGGGCTATATCTTTAATGATAATAATGGGGCTAAATATTTATATATGTATATATGTACAGTTTAATGCAGGAAAAAACAACAACATAGAAATAAACCTAGCCAAGTACGTACATACCGAAGCATGCATACACAATAAAAAAAACTTTATACACCATTTTTCTTATAGCTTCTAGTGATTAAGATGCCATGTCTAAAAGGTTTATGAATAATAGTTCAAGCATGTATTTGGCACTCTATGAAACAATCGCAACCTTTAAACACCCATGCATTCTCTTGGGACAGAAAAAGTGAGGAATGATTCAAATTTCATCAAACAATAAAGAAAATACAAAATAACTTCTTACACCCAAATGTTTATTTTTTTTTTTGGTTCCTTTTTTTTTTTTTTTGGTTTTGTTTAAGAACTGAAATGTTTAATGAATTGCAGTGCATAAAATAAATGGTTGTAACTAAATACCCAACTCTAACAGTCAGGATCAATCCGACCCATCTGATATTAGGTTGTTTTTCGTTTGTTTTAATATTGAACATTTTCCCCACTTGTTCTCACAGTCGCTACCCCCCCTCCCCCCCAAAATACCACCACCATTACTTCTGTAGCACTGCTCAATCTCTGGCCAAGAGAAATCAAGACAGTTTCCACTTCTACTTGTACACCAATTAACAAACCAGTCAATCCAATATCTGTTTTATGTACATTTAAAAAAATCAGACATTTTTAAAAAAATGTGCACAGCCAAAGTAAAAAAATAAAATGGTAAAGTAAAAATAAAAGCTTTGGGAAGGGGAGGGGGGGGCATACCTTCATACTGACTAATCATAAAAACAGCCCGATTCATTTCAATTATGTACACAAATGTCAATAATGAAAAGTCATCCGGTTGAGGAAAAAAGTGGCTCTAACACCTAACGAATTGGACCTATGGACATTTGTTGAAGTGTTTCTCACCCATACTCTCAGAACAAACGTTTATTAATTAACCAGATTTTAGTGTGTAAAAAAAATAAAACATTCCTTTGCTTAAGTTATTACAGTAAGCATTAGAATGTTATTGGAAGACCAAATACAAGGTCAAAAGCTAAAATAATGAAACCTGGGCCAGGACAATTTCGTTGACTAGCTCACTAAAAGTTTCATTTAACATATTCTCAAAGATGTTATGAACAGTAATAGATAACATACCTATGAAACATAAACAATTGAACACCAATGTAGCCAAGTAAAAAAACAACCCAAGAGCTTTTCTAGCGAATAAACTGTTGAGTATTTCTAGAAATATCCTTTCATCAAAAGACAATTTTTTTAAATATTTTTTTTACTATTTCATTTGTTCTCTGAAAAACAATGTGAAGCCTTATTCCATGAACCATAACTCTGCTGAATCAAAACTGGTCATGAAAACAAGGGAGACAAATGTTGACATAAAGCTGATATTTTATAGAAACTTAAAAAATTATTCTGTACCTATACTGCATTCTAATTCAACAACTACATACAACTCTCAAATATTAGTCTACTGCCACTTCTACAGTCACTGTCATGGCACCAACAGCTCATAAATAAGTCAATAACCACAAAACATAATTTATATGCTATCTAAAATAGAAATGTCATATTTGTATTGCTGACAACTAAATTCAACACATTTTGATCCTTAACTCATTATAAACATTAAACTATTTAAATGGAGCTCACAAAATGCATTGAAATTGATAACACTGGGTACAAGTCAAATCTTTACTAAATACATTTCCTAGAATAATTTTTACTAATTTTATTTGCATCAAATTTTTTAAATACTTTAATTCAACTTCTAAATACATGAGAATAGTAGTGAGCCTGGCCATTGATATGCAGCCTGACCTGGTGATAAGAAGAAGATATAGGCACATGTTTGTAGCACACACAAAACCTGGCACACACTCTGTCCATACAAGTAAGTTCGGTTGACAGAACAAAGACAGTTTTTTTGCAAGGTTGAAAGCACTGCTGGTGTCAAGGGCTAGACAAACAGATCGTTCGAGTCCATACATGTCCCTGGATCATTTCACATGCTAGTATTAATTCATATGGTCAGCTGTCCCTATTATTTCAAAATACAAGGCCTCGGTCCACTTTTCAATAAATAATCAATTGCCATCAAGTTATTAAAAACTTTGATGCAAGAGTTTCTACAAAGTTCTCTCTGCTGTCAGCCCATGATATCGGAAGCTCTTGGTTGAACAAGATGAAAGCATACTTTAAGATATCAACAGACATTTTTTTTAAAAATAAGACTTTTATACCAGTAGTTCTGACCAAGTTCACCGATGTAATGAATGTCACAGCACAGGAGAAAACAAAGCAATGCCAATTATGAGGATAAGAGAGGGGCTCAACACAAAACTTTCATTACATAGTTTGTATTCTTGCACATTTTTGTTGATCAAACTGAAAAATGTATGTGGGGGTTTTTCTAGCTCAAATTAACCATTTTCATTAGCTTTGATAATAGACTTTTCTCCATCAAATGGTAGTGTATTTCCAGTTTCTATCCTAATATCAATTATTAGTTGATATTGTTATGCTAAAATTAAAATCATTAATTCATGCCCCCTACAAACAACTTATTTCAGCTCAGGATAACTAAGAGTAAATATTTTAATATACAAGAGGACTTATAGTTAATAAATAGTCTCAAGTGAAATATTGACATACTCCACCATTCATTCTCACATCTCTATTTCTCGCAAGGATTACAATCAAATAACTACATCAACAACACATTTTCTTTCCTCTGTGTCAAGTATATAAATATTACATGAAGAACATCAATTGAAAGGAAGGCATGAATCTTGTAATGTAGCTTCCTTTTCCCCCATGGTATTTAGTCCTTCACATACTAAATAGTTGTTGCTAGCTTGTGGTTTATACATAGATACAAGTTTTAATCTTTGAACAGCACAAATGTAGTCAATAGTGCTAATATATAGAAAAAGAGAGAAAGTCTGAAAAACACTGCTTAGCTTTGGTTAGGGACCCTAAACAAATTCACAGAACTATGCATTAGTAGTGAACCATCAAAAAAATGATAGACCAGGAAGATGGAATCATGAACCACGTAACAATAATTTTTTGTCAGTGAACACACTCAGTATTAATCAACAAGTGTTCTCATATTCAAATCTCTGCATGTTACAGGGCCACACCTAAAATCACCTCATCACATACCATCAAAGGTACTATGATGAAGACCGTACTATGTTAAAGAATGCATTCTCAAAATTTTTTAACCCTACCTAATTCATGAAAGTTCAATGTCAAGATTTTACAAACCTACTGAAATAAGGTCTTATCTTGATGCTATTTCAGACCTCCATGAATTTCTAGTATGGAAGCAGCATCTTTGAAATGATCCCATGCCCAGAGCTGTTATGTTGTTCATTTTTTTTTGTTTCATCACAACACACACCCACTGATGGGCAACAAATTCAACTTCTGATGCTGACAATAATTATAGTTTTTAAACAGCAGACTATTGTCATAAAAAAAAAAAAATTTACAATCATCTGAGGACGTCTGCAATGAAATGGGTGGAGAGAAAAAAAAAAGATGCTTCACAAAACGCACCAAAAACTACATTTTAATTTAGCTTATCACCCATTGCCCTCACTGTATCAACTCCAATGGGTCAATAATATTACTCATATTTGTCAAATGGTACTTATGCAAATGTTCAAAGTAACACAAAGTCTGTCAGTACAAACTATTATAAAAATTAGTATCAGGGTCCTCCAGAAGGAATGCTACTGAACATGTGTGAATGTACAACAAACAATGCCTGATGACATGAGATTTCATGGCTTTTGTTCAAATGATAAATTTTTAATAAAGAAGTGTCATAGTACAAAAATTATATCATTTATGGGAAGAAGTTTTTTTATCAAGAGAATGAACTTGTTGGAGTTTCTCTCTTTCTCTTTTTAATGATATCCTTCAGAACTGGAGTCTCAAAGAGAGGAGCTCATTAATAACATCATACTTGAATCATATGTCAAGTACTTTTTTGTTTTTGAAGCTGTAATTAAAATAGATCAGCCTGTCCGGTCGTCATTCTTTGCCTTTTCATAGATTTGGTTATGATATCACATATGTATACCACTGGGCAAGGTGAGCAGCTGGGCCTTTCCTTCTAAACTCTTAAACTAATATTCCATGGTTCAAAATCAGTTCTGGCATATTTATTACAGATGACCAATTGAACAGAGTCAAATAAGCGTTGATTTAGTATCACAGTGAAATCTGAGCCCAGTTTAATTTCTTTTAACCAGGGGTGGTTTTGTATTTGTTAAAAACATTTAATAAAGGAAAAAAATATTTGTTAAAAAAATTCAATAAATTATATAAAAACAACATAATAAGCATTCTTTCTTTAGATTTTCATCAAGGCTCAGCTAATAAATTACACAGGTCATTTTTTTAAATATATTACATAATATGAAATGAAGAGTTAATAATAGAATGAAAACTTGACAACAAAGCGGTTTTGTTTTTTTTTTGCTATACTTTTTTTCCCCCCCCCTTCAAGTTGTCAGAGTTGAGTGTTATGGTCTGATGTGTCAGAGGTATCTGTCGTGTTGGCTGGGGATGTTGGGTCCTCATACACTAGGCTGTGTCGGTTTGAGCCAGGTGGAGACATACTACTGCTTGTATTTGACATCAGAGAATTTCTCCAATGGCTGGAGGACTCTGCACTATCCTGAAAAATAAAAGGAATAGTTCCCTGGTTGTAATTATTCCGATTTCAATATAAAAAATACATTTTTAATTTTTTTTCTCAATTAATTTGTTTTACATTCTCCAGTAAAATGATTTTAAAAGATTTTTGGATTTTAGTAACTATCTCTTTTTGTATTTCAAGAGCTGTTAATATTTTTTTAAAGTTTACTTTTTGTCCAAGTGCATACATAAATTTTCATTAAATAATAAGAACGTTTCTGTAGAAATGTGTATCATAAGAATAGTCCATTTTAAGAGTTCAGTCATTCCGGATGTTTCACAATGACCATTTTTAAAAATATGTTCAATGTTATAACTTTGCAATGTGGTGCATTATAGTTTGTTATGCAGTTATTGCTAGAGGTGGAAGACATCTTCCCCGTGGGTATAAATACAACAAACATGTTGAGCGTAACTTGACATGCTTCAGTGTTCTAAATCTATATGCATTAAAAAAACAGTTCCAAAGTGAATAATTTCAGACATGGCTTTAATTAAACAAAAAGGCCTTAGGTCATGAGAAGTGTTTGTTTTTTAGGAATGACAGGAGTGCTTTGTTAAATAAGAATAGTAGATCATTTTAGTTCCTTAAAATCTGTTCAATTTTTATCAATCTCAAATTGTTATTTTTTTTTTTTTGTTGTGTTTTTTCTTTTTTTATTTTTCTCTTCAAACTGTTAAGAAAAATAGCGATTTTTTTTCCAACTCATAAAGCACAACTGACCACCTTCAGGGCTAAACTGTACAGAAACAAAAAAAAAACTAATAATACACACAACACTAACATGATTAAGCACAAAACGTGGAATGTGTTAGTGAATGACTCAAGCGGTAGGGTTATAACAGATGGAGAAAACAGAAATCAAAGCAAACAATTAGAACAGCTGAAAACAAACATTTGAGAAAAATGAAGAGTCCACTTCACAAAAATCTTGACAAGCATCAATTCCTCAATGGCATTCTTCTATTGCTGCGTAAAATAGGTTGAGAAATGTTACTCTAAAAATGCCTTTATTTTTTCATAAAATTGTCGGTTAGTGAAAATAATAAATTATGATTGCATGCAGTTCTGAGTGAGATTCTGTCAAGATGTATGACATGATATCCTGGGTACAATGATGACTCGGTTTATAGAATCTTTAGATCATTATTTCAAATTGAAATATTGATTAATAGACTTAAATGTTCTCAAGTAACTTGCTTTCATATCTTGACATCTTTCAGGTCAAATTTTGGTATCATGACTTATAATGTTTTAACTGTATTTGAGTACAATGTTTTAACTGTATTCTGAGTACAATAAAATATCAAATATTTTTAGAGAAGCTGGTTAATGCACTAAGCCGGGGTGGGCAAACCTTTTCAGCTGCAAGCCAGATTCATGCATGAGGTAACAGACACATGGGATCCTGCAAGGGGGGTGTGGTGGGGGGTGGGGGGAGGTGTTAAGACAAATCATATGGACTTTGTTATTTTAAAAATTAATATCAAACATCATGTGGAATTGCTATTGATTTCATTAATAAATCATCATAATAGAACAAAATAGAAAAGCCAAGCAACCCCCACCATTTAGTCCTGAAATCTGCAAGCGAAAATTTAAATTACAAGTTATTTTTCTTTTCCATTTTTAAAAATTATTTTTATTTAAGGGAGGGAGAGCCATTCAAAATGGAGGTGCGAACCATACCATAATTGGCTCACAAGCCATTGTTTGCCCACCCCTGCACTAAGCACTTTTTTATTAAGTATTTTATTAAACAATGTCATGGGGATTATCTTTATAGCAGGAAGCTAGTAAGTGAAATTTACACATTTTTAGAGCAACATTAATTTAATGGAAAATTATTAAAACTTATTATAAAATCAACCATCCCAACAGACTGCCACCCAATCTTTCTAATAAAACCTGAAAAATGCTGTAAAACTTAACAGAAATGCTCCAATAACTTGCATGTTACTGGTACATGACGTACTGCGCACACAGCCAAAATAGGAAACGTGTTCTTTTATTCCACAATGGACCGTGTTTACAAATCAGAAAAAAATTACACCGAAAACAAAGAGGGTTAACGAATGTAGAGTGTTTTAGTTACAACATACTGTTTTATCTCAAAAGGTCAAATATTATAGAAATTGAACGGATGCCAGTTAGTTTTGTAACACAAACACAATAGAATCTTTAATCTCTAAGAATGTCTTTGGTATTAATTACATTGTGTTAAAAATGTCATTAATTTATCCTATACTAGTGCTAGCCACACTGATGTATATCAGTAACTGAGATAACAACTTCCTTTGCATATTTCAATATTTATAAACCAATAGGATGACTAGTATTTTTTTTAAAATGCTACGAGTTAATAGAAAGCTAACTGTAAAGCCTGTCATAAACTTATCCTAAGTGCAGCAAATATAATGCTTTTACACCAGGGGTCTCAAACTCAAATCATCTGGGGACCACAGGAGGTAGAGTCTGTGTGAAACTGGGCCGCATCGAGTATTCCACAAAAGAAGCAATTACAAATCAATTACAAATAAAAACAAGGGTTCTCAAGAACTAGGATTCACTTTCTTCATCCTACTCCTTGTTGCCAGTGACCTGGCAGTGCTTCTTCTTACACAGCTTAGCAACGTTTCACTTGAGTGAGAAAGCAACTGAGACCCTCAGTATAGCTTGAAGATGCTCGTCAATAAGTTTGGCTCTGAAGTTTGACTTGCTAAAGTTCATAGTAGAAAAGAGCTGTTCACACAGATAGGTACTCCCAAAAAAGGCACATGATCCGCTTGAAAAACCTGGAAATCTCAGGGATGGTGGAAGACAATGCTCTCATAAACTGTCCATGCTAGTCTGTTTTTCCATTCACCTCCCTGAACTTAGAATTGCACTGAAGATCAATAAGCTCCATTTGAAGCGCAAAAAGGGAGTGGGGGCATCTTCCACATTAAAGGAGAAAGGGTCAACACAAATTTGAAAAGTGGTTCTAGTGGAATTTCCCTCACTCGTAAAGACTAGCAGCAATGTTAATAGGGATTCTTTGATACTGTGACAGATTGCTACGATTTACACAATTATGGTTGTGCATTACCCACTAACTGACCTTTTAAACTTTTCTCGAAACATCACTTTGGTCATGTTTGTCAAATGAAATGCTATAAAATAAAAATGATTTTACAACGGTTTTTACCATTATAATCAACGTCCAAATCAATACAAACTTAATAGAACTCAGAATTAGACTAGTTGGTTAGATTCGACTGAAACTGTCGCGGAGATGATATTATAGATATTTGAGAATGGGGAAAGCGCGCAGGCCGCATGAACACTAAACTTTGTTGTCATTTACCGGGCCACAAAATATCATCTTGCGGCCGCGAGTTTGAGACCCCTGTTTAACACTGTAATGAAGTTTGGCAAAGGTTGATCTAAAGCAAATGCTTTGAAAAAAATTATTGGACTACACTTCCATTTTGAAATGGTTTTTAACTACAATGAGAGAGAAATCAAATCCACATTGGATCTGTACATAGTAAGTAGAAGATAAAGACCAGAGAAAACAAAAGGGGAAAAAAGCAGTGTGGTTAAGAGCTGACAATATTTACTGTGAATAACACGGGGGGGATCCTTGGTGGCAGATCATCCCTAAAAATATCTCCGGATTCAAATTGTTGACTGGAAAAACATAAAAGAAAAAAAAATGAAAACACCTATAATCCAAATCCATTTTTCCCCAGGAAGGACAATATCTTTCACTGAGTGTATAAAATTGCCAACATGCGCAGCCAGAAATTTTATTTTAAAAATCATTTAGAATTTTCTGTCTGAAAGAAGGAAAAATTCAGAATATTGAAAAGATAAGTCACCTAACAAACCATTGGACTAAACAACTTTAAAAGATGAGGTTGACTTCAAACACAGAAATGTCTTTGGATGAAGAAAATAGGGAATGGGTTACTGCAGAGTATGTGGTGTAGGAATGTACATGACTATTTGTTGGCTAACACAAAAACATGGCCAAACAAGTGACAGATTTCAGTGCAGACCTTCTAAATCCAAAATTATACCTAGTTAAACTGATGTTGCGCATACAAACATGCAAGTGGAGCAACGAAAATTTGACCAAACTGTCATTGGTGCATAAAACTTTGATGCGTGTCATAACAACAAAACCATCATCTTAAACAACACATCAGGCAACATTCATAAACAAGCATGAGATATTCAATACAAGTGGTGTTTGAATGCAAACATTATTTCACGAGTACATTTTTTAAAACAATTAAGGGAGATGATCTACAACAACAAAGATATATGTATATATATATATATAGGGGGGAAAAGTATTACTGTTGGTATTTTAAAAACCAAGTTCCTAAAAGTATTGGGTTGTTGTTAGCTCTCAGATTTGTCAAAAGCTGGTAAAGACCATGAGCTACCAGCCCCATTGAAAGCACTCTCTGAGGAATTCATAATCTGTGCAATGGAAGAAATGAGAATCCTTTAGAACTTTTTTTGTGGGCAAGACATATTTCCACTCACCCATCATCAAGCAAATTAATGATTTACACATTGGAATCTCTTTTCATCAACTTTAAATCTATATTAAGAATAGCCAACTATGAAAACTATCAGATAAGAAAACACCCCTGATTAATAGTGACCTGTAACTATGTGGTTCTTAAGATTGTGAACACCACCAAAAACTGACTTGACATAAAATGTCACAACTCATAATTTTCAAACAATTCAAAGACCAAATAGAACAATTGGGTTGGGGGGGGGGGGGAAAGCAAAGGAATAGAAAAACAAAAATTGAGCATTTAAATAGTATTTTCTAAATAAACCAGAATTAGTGGGGGAAAAAAATGTTTAAATATTAATGCAACTTTGAAGGTCAGCTTTTGACCAAGCCTAAAAATATAGTCCATAATCAGGTAGACAGAAAAAAAAAAGTTAAAATCTCAGTTAACTTGGTAATAGTATGTGGAATGCTTGGAATGCCTTTGCTCCTTGATAATTGTGAATAGACTGTTTCTGCCAATTTTAATTTATGTCAATAAAAAAAACTTGCTCCCTTTAAAGACAGGATGCTGGCAGGTTAGTGTTACTTTCAACATGAATATGCTATGGATCAATTTGTCAAAAACACAAATAAGATGGTGAGGTATTTGAATAACACACTATAAAATATCACCTCTTCAGAACTGTTTATTCATACAGGTGACAAAAAAGATGTGTCCTTATAATGGAGTCAAATTTGTTGGACCAAATTCAATGAAATCACAGTGCATACACTAATTAAGATAGTTCCTTTATTAATAGCAAAGAATCTCTGAGAAATCAGCAGCATATCGTCAACATGTTTGTCAATAATTACTAAATTATGTTGTGCTTTTGAGATAACAGATTATATGGTAACTAAGAAAACTTGTTAGATTATTCATAAAATGAATAATTTCTGTCACGTCATTGACATTTAAATTAGAGACTGATATAATGTTACTGGGAGGTGAATTAACTCAGAGCTGACATAAAACAATCTTCTGTTGGCATTCCTTTTGTGTTATCCTTTTTTTTTTAAATTAATTTTTAGATTTATAGATAAATAAATTAATATATCATAAGTTACTATTTTTAGAACAGGGTCCCCACCCACATTGAGACTCATGTGGCAAATCCTCGAGTTTTGTTTTCCTGATTTGTATTTACTCTCATGGTGTTGGTTTTTTTTTTTGAATTATGGAAGCAAGTTCTGAGGTGACCAAACCCAAACATTTGTATTAGCATAATGAAATCAAAATGTAGTTATATCCTGCTTGGTCTAGGGTATACAAGTGTGGAGATGACTTAACTACACAGCTAGGTTAAAGAAGTGAGTTTACAAATGTTATGAGGTGCCTGACTACAAATTAGAGGTTAAGTGGTTTCAATTCTTAGAAGTTTAAGAGGTGGAAAATATATATGGTTTACAAAATTTTCATTCACTAATAAATTTAAAAAATAATTGTCAGGTTTTAACTGATGGTGTCTTTGTTAAAAGAACAATTCATGTGAAATTCTGAATTTGTCAATTTAACTATATGAAACATTTCTAGTCAGTACTTGTATTTATTTTCATTATCAAGTAACATGTTGTCCCAAAATTCAATTAATGTTCAGGGTTTATAAGTGGGTTTTTGTTTTAGTATTTAAAATTTCAGATCCTAAATACTAAATATTTTTTAATTAACAGTCCAAACTACACAATTAAAACAAAACAATTTATGCCGAGTTATGACTTTGCTCTCTAAATAAGACACCGTTTTTATATAATGTCAAGGAATCAAATTAACTTTAACAAATCCAAAATAAAACTTATTGACTTACAATGGCCCTTTCAGTACTCACTTCGAAAATTTGTGAAGAGATTTCTTTTTCTAAGCTGCTTGGCTCTTGACTTGCCGAGGGTGGTGACTGTGATAGATCAGACCCTCCTCCTCCCCCTCTGCCAGGCATGTTTAAAGGAAGAGATCTCCCCCTCCCCCTTCCGGGTCTGGAATTATTTTCATTCCTGCTTCCTGCGCTTCCTTTTGACACAAAATATAATTTTACTCAGTTACTTGGTAAAAAAAAAAAGTCATTCAAACAATTCTGTCAATATTTCTGAGATTTATTTATTTATTTTCAACTTATGTCCATCATCATGAAGGGCCCTGGCCTGCTCCACCACATCCTTCCATTGGGAGCGATCCATGGCTTTCCACCTCCATGCGCAAACCCTCAACTGGTGTAAATCCATCTCCACTTTATCGATCCATCTCAGCCTTGGGCGACCGGTGAGCCATCTGCCCCTTGGCGTCTGCCTGTATATAACTTTTGCCGCTGTACTCTCCGGCATCCTTTCAACATGTCCTGCCCAGCGTAGTCTGCCTTTTTTTTTATATCATTGTGACTATGGGTTGGTCTTTGTACAAATGGTCCAATCTATGTCCAGGATATTTTATTCTCTTTTTGAAATCATATAAAAAGGACCCCAATAAAACTGTAAAAACTAAACCAAATGTACTCAAAAGTTACTTTTCACACTATGGAAGAAATCTGTTCAAGACTTCTTGTATTTGATATGTAGGTAATATTTGAGACTTAGTCTATTGGCAAAGCGTCTTTAAATAAGACCAGAAACTATGAAGTTCATAGTAAAATATTGTTACGTTTAGTTAAGGCAGATAGAGGAAAGCACTTCTCACCATTAAAATGTGAACTGGTTGGACGCTGGGATCTTGCCTGTACTTCATGAATTGACTTGAGCTGAGGCTGGAACATACTTTTGACCCTTGCCATCTCTTCACTGGCTGAAGCACCTCCTGTCTATTCATACAGCAAAAAAAAATAAAACCCTTTTTTACACTATTGACTCAGAAGACAGAATTATCAAATATAGCATTAACTTTTTTGAAATAGAAAATGTTGAATATGTGATAGATTTAACAAAAAAATCTGGAAAATTAATAATAATTGTATAGAATCAGAAAATAAGATATTTAATGCCAATAAATATTTAAATAATGCAATGAAAGATTAATTTGGATAAAAGTGCATTTACTCTGGATCTAAATAAAATTTAGTTTTTTCTCTTTTGTGCATGAAAGCTGACAAGTATAAATAATTTATATTTATGAGTGTAAGAATGTATCAAAGTTTCATGTAGCTTTTACCTTTGGTAGATCTATAAGCACTTGATGACCCTGGTCCGGGCCAATATGTGCAACATGGCTAAAATTGGAAGGTGGTGATATGACTCTAGATCTTCTGTCACTCCTATTGAATGTTAACAGTTACATATTACTGAAACACAAAGGAATTCTAGAAAAAAGTTTCTACATGTTTAAAATACTAGAGTATTAGTTATTAAGTTCAAGAGGAAAACAAAAAGGTTCAATTAAAATGATTAACCTGCGTTTTGTGTAAATTTTCCTATCATTTGGAGTGTGTGTGTGTTGCCTGTGTGTTTGGATGTGTAGGAGAGAATGTTTACACTAATGTGTTTACAAATATTTGTCATGTTATGTCACTGCACAAATATTTTCTTATTGAAAATAAATTAATTAGGAAAATTGAGAATTCATTTTTTTTTTTTTAGCAGAGATTGGTACAATATTATTGATCACCAAGGTTTAACCCTACCCACTCCTCCCCTTCCAAATAAATCAAATTGACCCAAGTCTTAGCTCATTATCGACCTCTCCAAAATAAGAGAAGCTGAGGATCAGCAACTTGTTGCTTTTAGGGTGAATTTGAGTGATGAGAAGAGAATATATTTGAAAAAAAAAAGAACATGCATGACAGTTTTTAGCCCACTTAAATTATATATTAAGAGAAGATTCAAGACATCATCCCCATCAAATTTTTGACATTGTCATCAACAAGATGGCAAAAAGATCTTTAATATTAATATACATGTGCAATGAATTGTGTAAAAAATAAAATGTGTAAAAATTATTTTATGACCGGATTTAGCAAACAAAGGGTAACAGTAGTATGAAAAATGCTATTTTAAGAGTTTGTAGTCTAGGGGTATAACTAAATTACTTGGATCTTTTTATGTGTCCTTTAAGCAACCCCTGTTTACAGTTTTGGTAATGTTAACTTGTGCTTGTATTTTATTTGTCTAGAGATTAAGGCCTGTTAGCTGCCACTTATGCCCTCTTATCCTCTAATTTTAAGGCTATAGCTAGAAACATGTCTTTTATGGCTGATGGCAGAAAGATACACCATATATCATTATGATTATACTGATATTAAAACCAGAAAGAATGGAATAAATAGCAGCTAAGTAACTGAGAAAAACATGAAAAATAGAAGATCACATAGTATGACAACACACTATGCAGGTTAACACACTAATTATGTTTAAAATTGCAATGTGTGGCATTGAGATAAATTTAGCTTGATCCACACACAATTTTAATTTATTTAACTATTCCTGTTAGTTTGGGTTGCAATAAGACTAAATATGCACTAAAATACCAAGAACCTCAGATTCTCTCTCACAAGAAAAGTTATTGCCTAAAGATTTCTTATGAGACAAAATAAAATCTACATGTGACTACATGATGCAACAGTGCAAGCATAGTGGTAAGCTATGAAGATCAAAAGAAAAGCAATAAGTGTGGTTTCTTGAGATTGAAATGTTTTTAAGATTCACCTAATTAGAATACTTGGATGGGAAGTGTGAAGTTTATTTCTCAGAGGCTCTTGACTTTGCCCTCTTTAAGCTTGTACTTGATAAAATGTTTTCTTTACACTTTAAAACTATTTGCATGTGTAAGACAAAATGTGTCATTTACTAGACACTAACTTTAAAAATAAAGGTGAATTCAGTTGCTTAAAAACATTTTTTTTACTAAATCCAAAAAAAACACAACTTGATTTTCTTGGGTAGAACAGAGGTAAACTTAAAACTGGGAGTAATTATTACAATATTCTTACGGAGGTGGAGGGGGGTTCTGAGATGGGGCCATCAGCTGGCCAGGCCCCACATGGGCCACATGGCTGAAGGTCAAGGGGCCAGAGATCTCTCGATTGCGTCGTTCAGGCCTGCGTGCAAGGATGAAATTGCAAACTGATACATATACAAGAATACACATTTTTCATAGCACAAGATATTCAATGATTAGTAGCAGGCAGAAGAGTCAAGGGTAGATAAAAAAATTAACAAATTATTGGAGATGTATGAATGAAAGAAAAAGTACTTTTATATTTTATTTTTTAATATAATTAAATGCTTATAAAAGTACAATGAAAATTATAAGGCAAATAAGCTTTTGATTTTAAAAAAACAATGTTCTGATTTCTTTTATGTAATTATTTATTTTATTTTATTTTTTTTTGCGGGGAGAGAGAGAATATTTTTGGGGGGTCCATTTTTTAACAATACCTCTACAGTCATATAATGAGACTGAAAGTTTTACTCATTTTGAATTTAAGGTCCCCGAGAACAAATAGTAAACTTTTCATTTTTATTAATTTAAACTTAAATAGAAATAAAAGAAATGAAAAGGGAGGCTTGAATTTGATGTTCACTGTGTCATAAGCAGATAAAAAAAAAAACTTTAAGAACATACAATAAACTTTTCAATCAATAGACATTGTGTTGTCTCTAACTAGTTTCAACACAATGTTAAAAAACTTTCAGAATATGCTAACAGTGTGCACTGGACAGAAATGTTGATGATGCACCAATGGCAATCCTTTAATAAAAGCTGAAATTAATCCATCTAACAGATTAAGAAGAAAAACTTTGGGTGCAAGCATGTTATGTTCATCTTGTCTATGCCATTCAGGAGAAGATAGTGTTAAAATAATTTTTTTTTTTTTAAAATTCTTTACCTTTGGAATAAATTCTTCTTTCTATTTAATGTGCAACCTATCCCCTACACACACACAAAAATGAGGATCAGAGCATTAAAGTGTAAATTTTTTCAGTATGCTAAAGGAGATTCCAAAACAAATTTGTTCAGATGATTATAATTTTACCTCTCCACCTTTTCAAAATTGGACCAACATGCCTTTCTAGGAGTAAATGTTTTACAACATAATTTTTTTGTAATTGCACATTTGATAAAAAAACCAGTGCACAATTATTTTCAATGCAAGTTACCGTTTGATACCGAGTTTCCTTTGAGATTGCCAAGATAGAATAAACACAACTAGATGTTTCATTCAAATAAAATAATCAGGTGCTAGTGAAATCATATAATAATCAGGTGCTAGTTAAATTTTATTAAAATCTTAAATGTTAAGGACAAAATAATAAGTCAAACGAAAGGTGGCATTAACAAACACAAAAATTGTATTTTTTTTTTTTTAAATTTGAAAGTGCATCAAATGCCAAGGTACAAAGGTGAAAGAACAAAATCAAAAGATGCAGTTATTTTAATATTGAAAAACATTATTCACTCTCTTGTAGGTTTATTTTTTGTCATGAACAAACAAACAAAATGTTGGCATATATGCACACTTACAAGTTGAAGATTAGGGAGCTGAAGAAATATGAATGAGCAAGACTAGATACACAAAGGTTTGTTTTTTATGAAAGTCAACTAACTATGCATAATGTCATTTTGTTATCCATCTGTTAATTTATATAGAACATGGTAACAGGTCTATTAATAACTTTAGTTTTCCTTAACAATTTCTCTGCGTCTATTGTTACATGCCCAGTTTACTCATGCTTTTATGGACAATTAGCCATAAATATGATTATTTAGAAACTACCCTAAGTAAGGTAATTTACCAATTGTGTAAAATGTGTTTTCTAGAAATATTAGTAGGCCTAAGTAATTTTTTTTTACAACATCCGGATTTTATAATGAGTTAGAAATGTCTGGATCATAGACAGCTACAAAAATTTATTTAAAATTTTATCTTAAATATTTAAAGACCTTGCGTCAGACATAAGTCCATGGATAAATTTCTTACAGAAAAAGTATAAAAACCTAAAATAGAACAGCATATTTATGACGTAACCTCACTAATAGAAGAAATGTAGGTACATTTTAGAAAATGAATCATGAATCCTTAATAATTTGCTTCAAAATAAACTCTTAAGCAATGAAAGTTAAAAGAAATTATTATTTAATGGGTGAAATGTTTTTGAAATTCTTTGCAGTTACTTTATATGCTGAGCTGTCTGTGTGGGTGTGAGTGAATGAATGAATGGATATGCATAATTATTAAATTATTGAATGAAGATTTTCTATGAAATTAAGATTATGTTTTGTACAAATTAGATCCATAGCTTGAAAGACGAAATCTTTCTTTTGAATAATCTTATCCTAATTTATTTCAGTTTGAAATATTTTTTTTAACCCAATTAAAAAATTTCCAGTTTTCAAACAACAGGTTATAAAACATTATAAGTGTAACTGATAATATCAAACTGATATAAAATTGTTGTTTTTTTCAAGTCATAAAGAGAGAAATGTGTCCACAGTCCAAGTGTCTAAAAGCACGGACAATTTTGGAAAGGATTAGATCTATATAACTTAATTCTAAGCATAATTTTAACTGTAGGATTATACTTAAAAATATTTTATAAATCAGTCACTTTGTCACATATGTTCATAATAAAAATGAGCTGTTTGGATTTTAAATTGTACAAACATTTTTTTGAAAAGAAGATGTGTTCTTTCAGAATATGACAGCAGTGATTTAGAAATACAAGAAAAATATTTTAAATATTTTAAAATAGAGGGGTTTAAAATAAGATGTAAAAAATATAACATTATATTAAAAAATTCACTAGGAAGGACTGACTTACCCTTTACTGGATCTGTCTTCATTCGTTTTGAAAGAAAACCTTCGCTTGTTTCGGCTGCTCTTCTGTTTGAAAATATCCATCACAGTTAGCTTGTCTTCTTCTGCACAAAAAAATAACAAAAACTGTTATGATTTTCTGCAAATTTCAAACATACTCAGATTTTAAGCTAGGAAAACAGTAAGATTAATGTTTTCATGTCACAGGAATCTAAATACTTCAAACAGGCATTGTAGAGAACAGTTGGATAAAAACAAAGACTTAACTTATTTTGTGAATTAAATTTCAATTACTCAATTTTAAAAAGAGGATGGGCATGTTTAGGTTGGATTCTATGACTTAAAGTCACAATTTAAACAAAGGTGTGTCAAGCTAGTATCAGAAGGATAGTTGAAAAAAAAATGTGCTCATAAGTGAATTAAATGTCTTTCACAAAAAATGTACATAATTTAGTCATAAATTTATTCATTGTACTAAAATAATCACATTAAAATATTTTTGGTAAAAAGCTCAGAAAACCGTTTAAACAATCACATTTTATCATTGTAAATATTCTCCTAATTGTTCAATCTTTAAATTAAAATTTGGATCAACATTTTTGAACATTTATTAGAAAAAGAATGTTTAAATACATATGTACGCCAGTTTTAATTTTATATATTTAAAATCTTTTACGTTTCCTGGTATTCTCACACACAAATTCTATAATTTCATGGCACACTTCTGTAACTGATTGTATTAAAAAAGCAGAGTTTGTCGGCCTCTGTATTTTTGCACTCAAAGGATTCTTGGCCGAAACGTCCACTCTCTTGTATTTCCTTATTCCGTTTGTCCTCTAAACTGTGCATATTTCTATTTGCTTCAACCTGAATGCAACCCTGCCATATTTCTCTTAAAAATTTTTTGAAACTCATGCTAATGAATAATTTAACAAGCTTTTACAAATATAATATTGTCTGAAATGTTTCATAGTAGTATTAAAATCATCACACTTAAAAACATTTGGTAAAGAGCTCAAAATAGCGTATAAAACAATCATGTTTTATCAATGAAAGTAAATATTCTTCTCATTGAACAATATCTGGATATAAATGTTTTTTCCAGATATTTAATGTTATGGTTCAAATTTAAATCTTTAACATTTTTAAAAATAAATTGGAATGTTTAGTATTAAGTATTTTCACGGACCCATTCTTTTATCAATTATTGCAGCCTCATCCTATAACTTTTACCACCGTAGTTCAAAAGCTTTACAAGAGTAATAATTTTATCACTGACTCATCAAGTCCTAGTCAAGTTATCAGTACCAAAACAATATGCTTATTTCTTTTCAAGGACCCATTCATTTTATCAATTATTTATTCTACACACTTAATTAGTAGGAACAGAGCTCAGAATAGCGTAAAAAAATAATCACATTTTATCATTGTCTATATTCTCCTCATTGCTCATTATTTAAAATAAATGTTGCACATGTTTGATCGTCTAGATCAGCGGTTCTCAACCTGTGGGTCGCGACCCCTATGGGGGTCGAACGACCCTTTCCCATGGTTCACCTAAGATCATCTGAAAACCGATATACTCTACAGTTATGAAGTAGCAACCAAAATAATTTTCTGCCAGGGGGTCGCTACAACATGAGGAACTGTATTAAAGGGTCGAGGCGTTAAAAAGGTTGAGAACCACTGGTCAAGATCTAAAGCAAAGACTTTTCAAATATAGCAAGAAATTCTATTGTTCAGAAGTTCACTTTTGCTGAAAATACAAATTGAGAACGTTTTTCTTATTTATAACCCAATTTTGACTTTGTTTTTATTTTCTGCACTAATTGTACATTTAGAATGTCTGGATCACATGATGAATATAAAATGCTTGAATTTTTATTCTGAACAGCAACATACAAAAAATGATGTAGTCTACATTGAACAATTTTTAACATAAAAAATTAATATCTAAAAAGGAAAAAATGAAAAACCACAAATGTATGAACAAATGTATGTCTTTTATCACTGACTCATCAAGTCCTAGTACTAAAATTTGAAATTTTTTTTGCACTCAAATTTGGGGACTTTCATCTGAAACTTGACCATTGAATTACAATCGCAACACTTAAAAACATTTGGTGAAGAGCTCAGAATAGCGTATCAAACAATCACATCAGATCAATGAAAGTAAATATTCTCCTCATTGCTCAATATCTGGAAATATGTTTTCACTAGATACTTTATGTTATGGTTCAAATTTAAATTTTAAACATTTTTTCAAACAAATTGGAACGTTACATAAAAAGTAATTTCAATGTGCTGCCATCTAGGCACTTTCCCTTAATCATTTTCTTTGTAAAAACCAAATGCCTAAATCAAGCACACATTTTCTTGTCAATCTGATTGTATAAAGCTTCATCCTATAACTTTTACCACGGTAGTTCAAAAGCTTTACAAGAGTAAATAATCATTTAAACCCATTATTAGTTATCAGTACCAAAACAATATGCTTATTTCTTTTCAAGGACCCATTCATTTTATCAATTATTTATTCTACACACTTAATTAGTAGGAACAGAGCTCAGAATAGCGTAAAAAAATAATCACATTTTATCATTGTCTATATTCTCCTCATTGCTCATTATTTAAAATAAATGTTGCACATGTTTGATCGTCTAGATCAGCGGTTCTCAACCTGTGGGTCGCGACCCCTATGGGGGTCGAACGACCCTTTCCCATGGTTCACCTAAGATCATCTGAAAACCGATATACTCTACAGTTATGAAGTAGCAACCAAAATAATTTTCTGCCAGGGGGTCGCTACAACATGAGGAACTGTATTAAAGGGTCGAGGCGTTAAAAAGGTTGAGAACCACTGGTCAAGATCTAAAGCAAAGACTTTTCAAATATAGCAAGAAATTCTATTGTTCAGAAGTTCACTTTTGCTGAAAATACAAATTGAGAACGTTTTTCTTATTTATAACCCAATTTTGACTTTGTTTTTATTTTCTGCACTAATTGTACATTTAGAATGTCTGGATCACATGATGAATATAAAATGCTTGAATTTTTATTCTGAACAGCAACATACAAAAAAGGATGTAGTCTACATTGAACAATTTTTAACATAAAAAAATTAATATCTAAAATGGAAAAAATGAAAAACCACAAATGTATGAACAAATGTATCACTGACTCATCAAGACCTAGTACTGAAATTTGATTTTTTTTTTGCACTCAAATTTGGAGACTTTCATCTGAAACTTGACCATTGAATTACAATCATAACACTTAAAAACATTTGGTAAAGAGCTCAGAATAGCGTATAAAACAATCACATCTGATCAATGAAAGTAAATATTTTCCTCATTGCTCAATATCTGGAAATCAATGTTTTCCCTAGATACTTAATGTTATGGTTCAAATTTAAATCCTAAAATATTTAACATCTTAAACATATGGGGTAAAGAGCCCAGAGCAGCGTATAAAAAATTGTGTTTGATCAATGTATATATTATCTTCTGTCAATGCCTGGATTATAAATTTTATCCCTTCATCTTGAAACACTAAGATTTAGACTTACCCTTAAATGTTTTTACTACGAAACTGGAATGTTTATTAATCAGATGTAAATTTAATTAAACGGGTGACTAAATAAAAAAATGCATTAGTTATGACAGAAATAGTGTTGTCCTTACAAATTTTGTAGCTACATTAAAACCAAACATTAAGAGGAAATGCACAGTGCTCAGTCACACCAAAATTATTTAGTAGTCTTTATGACTGTTTCATTTTAAAAAAGGATTCAAATTGTTCATAATTAAAACAATAGCAAAAGAGCTCAGAATAGCGTAGAAAACAATCACATTTTATCATTATAAATATTCTCCTCATTGTTCTCAGTCTTTTTTAAATAAAATTTGTCACATTTGAACATTTAGATTCACATAAATATTTAAGACTTTTTAGATATTGCAATAAATGTATTTATCAGAAGTTCCATCACTACTTTTAAACAATTTTACTTACAACATCCTATTTTATTTTCATTTTCTGTCTTTAATTTTAAGGTGAGTTTGAAATGCCTGGATCACATGACAGATAGTTTATTTGAATTTTTAATCTTAGATATTTCCTGTATAAGTCAATGGGTAAATTTCTTAAAGAAACTGGTTGAAGACCTTAACAGTACAGTATATTTATGACCTTACCTCACTAAGAAGAAAAAGTACAAATATTTGACATTTTGAAATTCTAAGTTTGGAGAAAACTTGATAACCAAGATTGTAATAATATCTGAATTGTTTTGTTGTTTTAGAGTGATTAAAATTAAAAATATTCAGTAAAGAGCTCAGAATAGCGTATGAAATAATCATTTTTTATCATTGTAAATATTTTCCTCATTGCTCAATATTTATGAGTTGGTTTTTTTTAACTTTCACTACATATTTAATGTTACGGTTCAAATTAAACTTTATAATTTTTTTTCTAACAAACTGGAATGTTTAACAAAAGCATGTTTAACTGTCAACTTGGAACAACTGCTTTGATGAAGTTCTTATTGAAAATGAAGTTGCTTAATCAAGAACGCAAGCTGTATAATGACAATTTAGTTGAATAAAGAATTGTCCCAAAACATTTGTATTATAGTAAAACAAACAAATCTTAAATAAATTATCATTTAAACTTGCTAGCACCAAAACAATATGCTTAAGTTTTGGGACTCATTCATTTTTTTAAGAAACATTTATTCTGTACACTCAAATAATAGGAATAGAGATCAGAATACCGTATAGAACAATATTGTATATAATCTAGTTTTATTTAAAATAAATTTCACACAATGTGTTTCATCTTTTAGATATGAACTATACTTTTCAGATATAGGAAAAAGGTTTATTTTTCAGAAGTTCACTACTCATTTAAAAACAAATTGAGATCATATGTTCATATATTTATAACTGAAACTTGTTCTTTGTAATTTTATATGATAAAATGTTAAACCTGTGTTTGGAAAATGTCTATTGAAAAGTTCTTACAGAAAAGGTAAAAATCTAAAAAAAAGAACAACATATTTGTGTCCTTCAGCCAATCAAGACCAAAAAATAGAATTTGAATTTTTTTGTACTGAAATTTGGAGAAAAGTAATTCTGTATCATTTTTGTCTGAAACTTACAACGAGCTCAGAACAACATATAAAACAATCACGTTTGGTCACTGTACAATATTCTCCTCATTGCTCTATATCTAGATAAGCAATTTGTTATCACTTCATCTTTAATCGCTGAAAAATGAGACTCCCTCAATTTTTTTTCTTACAGATCCATGTTTATTTTTGCTTGCTCCTCAATTCATTAGCTGAACATGAAATATTACCATCATATGACAAATATTATTTAAAGATTGATATTTGGAATTTGAATTTTAAATAGGCCCAAGGTTCGGATAAACTCCTTAGATGTATTTCTTTAAAATTATGTGTCTAAATAAAATCCACATTGGTGAATAGTGAATTTGACATTTTTCTAATGAAATTTGGAGATTATAAAATGAAACTTGTTCATTGTATTGAAATCACCCATACTTAAAAATATATGATGAAGAGCTCACAATAGCGTATAAAACAATCATATTTGATCAATGTAAAATAATCTACTCATCGCTCAATATCTGGGTTAGAAATTTTATCAAATTATCCTTGAACACTTTAAAAACTTTATGGCCACATTAAAAAAAACAACTAAAGCTTCATTTCCTAAAATATGCACAAATTCTTCACACTTCAAAGGAAAAGAGCTCAGAATAGCCTTTGATATAATCACATTTATCATTGTAAATGGTCTCATCAGTCCTTAATCTTTATAAAAAAGTTTGTCACAACTCTTGAACTTTCAGATTTAAATAAATATAAAGACTTTTAAGATATAGCAATGGATGTATTTATCAGAAGTTATTTAACTTAGAACTACTTTAAAATATTATTTCTTACAATATCTTGATTTTTAGTTTTCTGCATTAATTTCAAGCTAAATTTGAAATTATATACTTGTCTAAATTTTGAATATTAATCTCAAAAAGACTATGTTCACAGATAAATTTCTTACAGAAAAGTAAAAATCGTTTTTTTAAAAAGAGGCCAATATTTATTTCCTTTAGCTTCACTAAGAAGAAATGGAACAAAAATTTTTAGAGAAAACTTACTAGTGAAAAAATTTGCACAGTTTACATGTTCCTGAAACGTTTTCTTTTAATATTTAGTTTCAAAATTAAAAAATTTGATCATATCTGTCCTGGGATCTAGTTCAAACTCAATTTAAAATGAGGGCAGAAAAATTAAAATAAAATACAGAAGGGATGTTTCAATTTAAAAGTGTCTAAATTTGTATGTAAGATAGTGAATTCCTGTTTTTTTGCTAAATTTAAAAAGTCTTTTAATATATACATTGTACATTGATAAATTTCTTACACAAAAAGTAAAAATCTCAAAATAGAAAACATGATGAAAAAAGGCAGTACTAAAATTGGATACTTTGTTCTGATTTTTTAGAGAAACTAGCGAATGATTAACAAATATCTTTCGCAAACATTGTACTATTTTTGTCTGAAACTTATTCATTAAAAATATGGGGTAAATGAGCTTAAAATAGCTTATAAAACAATCAATTTTGATGATCATGGTAAATAATTCTCTTTATGGCTCAATATTTATCAAATTATTTATGATTATCAAGTTATTTTACAGTGAAAATAAGGAAACAATTTTTTTTAGAATTTAATAAATTTAAAAAATTTTACGATTTAATTTAGTTTTTGGTTTTTATTTTTGTTGTCATTCAAATTAAATGAGTCTCATTGTAACAGGAAATTATGACTTCCACTTAAATAAAACAGTTTATATGCCTTACATAATCATGTCCTTAAAAAATAGGCGTGGTATTTTTAAGATTAGGTAATAAATATATAAGAATGAGCTAGGCCGACCGTAATGCCAAAGAACCCAAAAGATTTAAAAACGTTCGGATTCTTAAAAACGATCATTGCTATTTTATATTATTATACGGAAATCAAATAAATTTAAATGTACAAAAAATATTATACATCCGCTTTTATTTTAGTAAAAGTTTAAGTATTTTAATAAATTACAAATAAATTTAGAGTAACAATTAAGGAACTATCTTGTTTGAAAGTTAAGAGATAAAAAATTAAATAAAAAATGATGATCAAAAATTACACCCTAATCACATTTATCGGGGAAAACCCAAACATCAGTTTTTAGTGCATTGTTAATATTGCAAAATAAAATTACATTATTTTTTTCTAAATAAGCATGCAAAGGACACACTGCCTATGTTAGCCTAAACTCTTAAGTTTCTTAGAAAACTGATACAAAACTGATAATGTATTTCCCCTTTCTTAAAAGTAAAATTAATAAATATAATTGATAACTTTTTAAATCTTAAATTAAACACACACAAATTTTAGCTTTGTATTTTTAACATTATAAGTTTTTACTTTTTTTAATTCCAAAAAAATATGCTTTTATTAGCTATATAGCGTAATAAAAACCTTTAAATATGTATCTAATAAGAAAATGGTGTTTAAGTCAATCAGTGCAGCGAAACTCTATAGCAAAATCGGCATCCTTCCGTCTTGTGAGATGATGGTGCATCACCAGACGATGGTGCATCACCGTTTGGTTGGGTTGCATTTTCTCGAGTGGCTGTGCAGTCCTATCCTTGAGTGACAGTCTTTACCACAGTTTTTACACACGAGTTCCGTGCTTCTAAATGTTTTGGCCTTTCTCCTAGCTCTTCTGTCTGCAGCCTCTTCCATTCTTCGGAGGAGCCGATGGTACTGCGGGAGTTTGACAACTGTGCGCCACGTAGATCGGTCTTTTGCCTTACACTCCCAGTCACTTGTATGTATTTTGGCTGCTTTCATGTCCCTTTGACAGACATCTTTAAATCGCAGACGTGGGTGACCTGTTTTCCTCTTTCCTGAATCAAGTTCACCATATTGGAGGTCTTTCGGAATGCGGCCGGGACTCATTCTTTTAACATGACCTAGCCACCTCAGGCGTCTTTCACTAAGGATTGTGAACATGCTTTGGGTATTTGCACGCATTAGGACCTCACTATTAGTCACTTTTTCTTGCCATTTAATACCAGCTATAGCAAAATAGCATTCACTAATCCACTTATAACTCATCCAAACAAGAACAAACAAAGTGCAAAATATGTTAGTTTGGGTATGGAAGAAACTAAAATCCAGTGGAAGATTTGGTTAATTTATATTTAAATCGGGGGGGGGGGTTGGTCATTTTGCCCCAGGCAGCACAAGATACGTCTCAAAATAAAGGAATCAATTTGATAAATAATCCTTTTTGGGTACATACATATCGGAGGTAGGAAATAGGATGTGTACATTTTTACGTGGATGACAATATATTTAAATCCTATGGTATTGCATTTGTGAAAAAAGAGATGTTACATTCTCTTTTTACAAATAAACATATGTTTACCAATTAAGAAAATCAATGGTGATAACGAAATGTGGGTTCATTTATATAAGTATACCTATGACTGTCAAAAACCAATCCTTTTACACACTTGAAAATTAAATTTTGAAAAATGGAGATGGGTTTATATTTTCTTTCAAAAAAAATAAAATATACATTTTGTTTTTACTTTGCGAAAAGTAAAGTGGGTGTGTATTTTTATGAGACTAACAATTTTTTTTTTTGTATTTAAAAAAAAAAAGAAGTCTGTTATAGACGTGAAAAACTGTTGCGAGATTCTTCTTTCTGATAATGCATAATTAAACAAACAAGACAAAAGAGTGTTTAAATTTTTGATGAAGATATCAATATATCAAATTCATTTAATTTTTTGTTGTAAATTTAAGATTATGTTTTTTAACAATTTTTAGAGAAAAAAAGTTGTAGTTCAAGGGCACAAAAAGGGGTAAATCTTAAAAGTATTTCTCTAGCGTAGAAATCGTCCTTCAACTAACTTCTTTAGTGACAAAAGTGATATAATTAGTGATAATTTAGATTGGGTAATTTAAGATCGTGTTTAGAGGGAAATTAGTTTAGAGGCGTGCAAGGGAGTAGGGGTAGGTGTATAATATAAAGCAGATAAATATTTTTCAAAACTTTATGATGTTAGAAACATAAATATCTTTACATAAATAATTCTTTTTAAAGTTAGGAACTGTGATGAGTTTTTGCAATAGCAGGCAGAAAGTATCACAAATGACCTACCACTATTAACCTGATAACATAGGGTCATGTATTCTAGTTACATAATAACATTACAGCATATTTTATGTTTCAGTACTATCATCCCAAAATTCATTATCCCCGCAGTAACAATTGGTTTGAACTACTGCTAGTGCTCGACGTACGACCTATGCAACTCACAATCATTCGACTTTACTACCACAATCACTAGCCATATTAAATGTCAGATTTATTTCAGAATAAGAAACAAAATGGAGTAGAGATGATACAAATGATTTTAAACAATAATAAAAAATGTATGGTATAATTTAACTTAAATATTTTATAACAACACTTCAGATTACTTTAAACATAGCGTACTCAACTTACGACCAAATTGTCCTACGACCGGTTTGTCAGAACTGATCGTGGTTCTAAGTCGAGTACTAGCTGTATTTTTATTTGCACTAAATTTAAATTAAGGGCCTGACTGATTGATGTATTAAATTATGTATGATTGCTATTAGAATAACAGAAATTCAGAAAAGCTCCGATGTTTAGACCTTTTAAATCATTTAAAGATTTATGTTTTGCAACTGCTTTAAAGAGCAGATCATTGGAGTAGTGTAGTTTATGACAACAAAATGAAAAGAAAACAGTAAACTATACTCACCCTCTTCAACATTTTTAAGGTAGACTATGTGCTGAGAGTCTGTTGCATTTAAAATACACAGCGACCCATCTTTGTTCAAGGGCTTTGTCTATAAGAATAAAAAGAATTTTCTATAAAAATGTGCTTTTTTTGTGCAGCGTGAGTTAGGGTCATCCATATATTTGTACCCACTGAAGGGTCAGAAAAGGGGAGAGGGGCATGGGCTCGTATGGGAGAGTTCGCCCTAAGTGTAGGTCTAGAAAAATGTGTAATTTAGCAAGAATTACGAGCATTCTGAAGTACCACAGCACCAATGTTGACAAAGAGTCGAAAAATATGTGGCTGTGTGAGTTAAAGTCAAATTTAAATAATGGTGTTGGTCACACTCATGTAAATGTTGCATTATGGGGGTAATAATGAAAATAGTAAGTAATCACTTTTATTTTTTGAATTCATTATAAAATTTGAGTTATTTTTTTTTTACAAAGCTTGAATTATTTAACACGAAATGAAAGTTTTGTTGAAATTTAAAAATTTTCCAAAATAGCTGCATTAATACAAATACTACTGAATCAAGCGCAATATTTTTACAATAAAAATTTTAGACTCTAATTAATACATATAAATTTCTTTATATATATACTTAAAATTCATAAATAGTGTTCTAGGGGACAACAAGAGGAACCGAATAAAAGCTGTGTAAATTAAATAAATAGTGGAACAATACATGTTTGTGTAAAAATGTGTAGGGAAAAAAGAGGTGGAGGTTATGTAAATATAATGTGTAATATCTTATTGTTCTTGCCTAATATATGAATGACCCCTAAACCCTAACTTATAGGTATAATTACGAAAAGCTATTTTGGGTTTTCCCTGTTACATGCATTAATTTAACATTAAATATCTTTAAAACTAAAATTTTGTATTGCTTTCAGTACCTTTTTTAAGCAGAGAGTTTGCATCCACTCACAATTGAAAATGTCAAAAATGAAAATGGAATTCTCTGTGTGGCACGTGAGATAAGGGTGAGAGTAGCCTGGCAGAAAGAAAAACATTTTTACTTATACTAACAGTTACCCCAACACAAGATTCAAACTAAACACATTGAAATTTCTATAGAAAGGCAACAACAGAATAAATATGAAGTATCATATCATAAATAAATTAAATATTGAAAAATTTTTGGAAGTGTCCCGATACCGTTATATTTAAATAGTTACTCTACCATTACATTTAAATGGTAATGCCTTGCTACATTTAAATGGTTACTGCACCGTTACATTTAAATGGTGACTACAACAGTACATTTAAATGGTGACTGCCCTGTTAGGGGGAAACTGTAAACTTCTAAAAGTAGTTCATTAAACCATGAAGAGCAATACATTAATGATTTGTTTCTTTGTGAAAAAATTTTAAATAGCACTATTATAAAAAGTATGGCTAGGGGTTACTTACTGACATATAAAGGTTGTGCAGGCCACAAAATTTCCTGTGCTCTGCTGCGATTACCTTTGTTATCAACATAAATACCAACAACTGAAAGAATATAAAGAGAGATGGTCATTGTTCAATTTGAATCAAATTTCATAATCTTAATCAAGAGGGCTTAAGTATTAACAAGTGATAAGCACAGCAAGATCTATTTTAGGGCATTTTTTTAAATAAGACAGGAGAAAATAATGCTTACTGTTAAATGCCAGGAAATATTCAGCTTCAGACATCTGTACAGCTAACATGGCACTAATGGGGTTTTGAACCAAGAATCCTAAACTGTTATCTTCTATGTTGACTAATGCTGAAATAACAATGGCATATAGATTATTATTTAAAACTTGTGTAACTTGTTTCGTAACAATTAAAGTTTCCTTTTTTAAACCCATTTATGGTGCACATTTAGTCTTTAATCAGTATAAACAGCCATCAGCTTACTCATTGGGGCAGCGTCTCCTTGCACACTATAGATTGCAAAGCTTGACGGGTAACCTACACAGAGTCTGTCACTCATCATCTCTATACAATCAACTTGACCAGGAACCTGATGGGATGAAATATTTTTGAAGTGAGACAGCAAACATATTTTGATTAAGAAGACAAGCAGTCTTTTTTTCAATTAATGGCATGCTCAGTTTCTGATTTGTTATGATTTGTGGCAACTCACATCCAGCCTGACATGTATTTAAGAAGTGGTTAACTTTAACTAGTTAACTTTACTTTTCCCTAACATTTTTAAAAACAGCTGTATATGCAAAAATGTCTGTAGTCTTATAATCAAATTATAACTGCCAGCATAAATCCAGAAAGTAGAAACTATGTTATAAAAGGGTCGTTTAAAAAAAGCGTACTATTCGTCAATAATACAATTCACTATTTTTGCCAACAAAAATTTTTCTTGAATTTTGTCAGGGAAAGATATAATTGTGTTTTACTGTATTTTGTATTTACAGGTTGATAATAAAGGGTTACATTCTTCAATTCACAGAAACATTTTAAAATCATTTATTACAGGATAGGTTTCTACCAGCTATGAATTGTGAAACTTATTAATTTAATTCAATATAATTTTGATAATTATTAACTTTCTTATTTATAAACCAACTTCATAACTAAATATGCCTAGAAGTTTAAATTGATTCCTTAAGTGGAAAAATTCATATAGTGACCATCAAATTCAAATTATTTTTATTAACATGTTATGTATACCTGGATGTCTTTCATTTTGCGATATTTCTGTCTAGTTTTATTTATTTCATACACTTGCACTGTACGCTTTATGGCAACAGACAGACAACAGGAACTGCCACCTTGGGGCTGCCTTATCTCTCCATGACAAAATAAGTGGCAGCCTTTAGTTTCATTGATTTTAATAGGCTCCATTTCATGTCCTTCCAGGGCAGATTGATTTAACAATTTCAAATGTTTTTGTTTACCTACAACATGCAAGAAATAGAAATATTATGTATTATGAGAGAACATGCATTGTCCCTTAGAGCAATAAACGTTAAGTTTAAATCCTTTCATTAGGTCCTACATACATTTAACAAAAGTTCTATTAATTATACTTATGAATGACATATTTGAACTGCAAACAAAAATAATGTAAACACTCGTAAATAAATATTTATAGTGTTCTCGCCTTGAGTAATAGTGAGCAATGCCAAGTTATAATGTATATGGTAAAACAGCATAATATATTAGAATGTTAATTATTATTATTTAGGCATTTTTGTATAGAGCTTACCTTACAGCTCTAAGCGCTTTACAATTATTAAAAATATGTAAACTATTTAAACTGCTAAAGTAAAAGAAAAATGAAAAACCAGAGACACTAGAATAGTAACTACAATGTGAAAAATGACTATAAAAACAGTAGCTTAAATATTACAATGGCTATAAAAACAAGTACACTTTGGCACGTTTTGGCATATACTTTGAAAAAAAAAAACAAATACAGGATCATCCCGAGACAGAAAATGAGGCAGGGCAAGGAGGGTGCATCACAGGTCATAAGCGGACCTAAACATATGGGTTTTAAGGGACTTTTTGAAAGTGGATGAGGTTTAACAATGACGAATGTGGAAGGGGAGCTGGTTCCATTTGTTTAATTTGTTTTTAATTAGGATGAATACAAAATACTTTTAATGTGGCATATAAAATATTCAACTATAAGAAACTTACCACTAATATAAGCTAGCAGCCCTAACCCTTGCTCCAGCACCAATTCTATTTGATAAACCTGTTTTTTTTCTGTTCTGCTCGCTATTCGTATAACTTCTGTTCATGGAGCAAAAAAATGAAATTGTTTTACCAAATAGTATTATAAATTATAATGAAAAGAGTAAGCATTTTTCTTGTTACTCTTTGTTTCAGCACTTTAAAATAAATGCAATTGACCATTTGCAACATTAAATTTATAATAACTTTAACCTTAAGGTTTTCGGCAAACAAATGGCAAAAAACATTACAAAAATTTTTAAAGAATAAATCAATTTTGAGCAACCAATTATTTCAAGTAAATTGAATAAAATATAGTTAAAATTGATACAAAAGATTAAAATGTCAATTTTTATTTTATTAGTGACTGACAAAGAAAAAAACTACTTACGATCTCTGCTCAATTCTACTACATAAAGACCTTCATCTGTACCCAAAATAATCCTTGAGGAGTCTGAAATTGTTAACATACAATCGCTATATTTTTTTAAGTTAAGGATCAATGTTTCAATTTTGCCTATATTTTTTTATTTTAAAAAAACAAAATTTTGTGAACTAATCTTCAATTAGAGGCATTTTTAAGCACTAAAGACAATAATGAACTTGAAATAATAAGAGCAAGAAATGATTTTTTCTTAATGACATACCTAAAATTGCTGCACATTGTGTACCTTTCACCAGCTGAAGAGAGTTATCACATACTTCCTGAGCATTATAAACCTGTAAAAAATATGTATAAAGAGTATGATAATTTTAAATACAATATGAACTATATAATAAAATATTCTTATGCAAAAAAAAAAAAAAATGAAAATAAAATTATGTTTTCAATGTTTTTATTTCAAACAAGTATCATAAACATATATATACATAAATACAAGCCCTCAGTGTTGACTTTCTGCTTGTGTCCGGAACATGGTTCATAAACACACACTCTCACTACAGTGTCTCTGCGCATGTACGCTGTTTCACCTGGCTGGCTATCGGGACGGTCCAGTCTGCTAGTCCACCATAACACCTCCCCGAACAATTACAAGTCCAGTAACAATGGTGCTCGAGGTTGTCTTTGAGATCTCCTGGGTATGACATAGTCTGAAGGTCTTGGCTGACGAGGGTTAATCTTCTTAGGTGAACTTGGAGTAACTGGATGTGTAGACGGTTGATGACTCAGGGCTTCCTGAGCTGTTGGATAAAGACTTCCTGTCAATATATCCAAACTTCGTTCTGAATCTTCTTCCGCTCCATACCTGGGGCGAAGTTGGTCTAAAAGTCTCTTCCATGTGGGACCATTTGGATAAATCTTCAACTTAAAAAGACGTGGACCCATAACTTGGATGATTGTACCGGGAGTCCATCGTGGTTTAAGAGTCTGTTGCTGTTCCATATACTCTGACGTAACATGGATCTCCCCGGTTAAATGATCGACTAGGATTTTTATTTGTCCCATTGCTGACAGCTATTTCTTTAAGATGTTGTCCTTGTGCTCGATGAGCAGGAGAGGCAACTAGAGTATCAACAAGTGTTCTTATTTGCCGATTTTTCAGCAGTTGGCTAGGTGATAATCCACTTGCCAATGGTGTCCTACGATAATGATGCAGAAAGTCTTGTAGAGATTCCTTTAAGGTAAGGGGGATTTCTTTATTGAACTCTTGAAATTTTGAATCAGTCGTTCGGCCGCTCCATTCGTAGCAGGATAATAGGGAGCGCCTGCGAGATGTACAATACCCCTCTCTTTACACCAATGCTGAAATTCTTCCGAGATGAAGCTAGTAGCATTGTCACTGACTATGGTGTGGATAGCCGAAATTAGCAAAATCTTCCTCAAGAAGATCAATGGTGGCTTTGGTTGACGTAGATGTTGTCCTGTGGATACTCTTGATACTTTGAATAGGCATCTATCATAACCAACCAATGTGATCCCTTTAAGTTAATGGCATGGTCGATGTGTACTCGACTCCATGGTTTTTCTGGCAACATCCATGGGTGGATATTTGCTTTGTTTGGGTCTCTGGCGTGTTCTGCACATGCTTGGCATGTTCGAACTATCTCCATGATTTGAGCATCAAGTCTGGACCAATATACAGATGATCTTGCTAACTGTTTAATCCGCTCGGTTCCAAAATGTCCTGTATGCAGGATTTGGAGAACTTGAGCTTGTAGTATTTTTGGTACCACAATTCTTGAACCATAAAATAGACAGTTTGTCACCACGGAGAGTGAGTCTTGAATATTTTTAAAAGCTGCAATATTAGCTGCATCCTTGTTCAAGTGCGCTTTGTTTGTAGAGGACGGCCAGCCCTCTTGATATCTCATTACTGTAGACACACCGTAGAATCTTTAAGTGACTCTGTAGCAAGGACTCCTGGGTCTGTTGGTCTGATCTGTTAACGATCATACAAACAGAATCCATGTCTGCGTCACTATCTTCACCATCAAATGTGTCATCAAGCGCCGAGGGTAGACTAAGAGCATCCGCATTGCAATCTTCAGTTGACTTACGGATTTGTTCACGAGCTTTAATCAATGAGTTTTGATTACTAACGTGATTTATCTTTGTTTGAAACAGTGTGTCTATTGAAATCTTGAGGTTCTTTATTGCAGTTCTTCCCAACAAATTTAAGTTGTGGTTTTTCACTACTACAAATGACAGATTTGTAGCTATTTCCCCTGCCTCAACTCCTCCCAAAACATTAAGTAGGTCACCAGACGCTGACTCGTTCTTAACAGATACTGGGCTCAATGTGGGTTGTCCCAGCTTTGGCCAAACAGATTCAGACACAAAATTTTCTCCGGCTCCAGTGTCAGTTTCGAATGCAAACCTTTTTCCTTCTAAAATAAATTCTTGAATTTGGTTTTGCCTTCTTATTCTTTTGAGATGAATTGGTTTCTGTTTTGGGGCATTCTCTTTCTTATTAAGACAAACTCTTTATAGATGTCCTCTCTTGTGGCAAAAGCGGCAGATCATGTCTTTGTACCTGCAGACATTTCCTTTATGGCCTCTTATTCCACACCTGCCACAAGTTCCAATCGGAAAATCTTGTCTTTGAGATGGAGAAAATGTCTCTGCTGTCTGATGTTGCTTATTTCTTTTTGTCTGAATTTTATTGATTAGGAGTTTCTTCATGGATTGTTTCTTTGGCACATTTCGCTGCCTCCTCTGTTTCAACAGCTTTTTTCTACTGCCTTGTTGAATGACATAAAAGAACTAGACATGTTTCCTTAAATAAATTATTTTGCAAGGGAACAAGAGAATCTTATAAGAATTTTTTTCTATTTTTCAAAGTCTTTTCAGCCAATTGGAGTATTTAAATGAAAGATTTTGGCAACTGGAAATAGAAATCTGAAGGATTACTTTGTTATTGCGCAATCTTTTTCTAAAAAGTTGAAAATGTTATGTTAATTTATATGTGCCTTTCTTTATGGCACAACTGCTCATCAGTTTTTGACTTTAAAAAATAATAATAATCATATTTCAATTTAAATGGATGTTACTCAATAATTTGATTACCAGTAATCGATTTAGATAAATTACTTTTATCACTCTTTTAAGAGAAATGTATAAAATAAGTAATCATTATCATGTCTAGCCATGCCCCACACTGTTTAACATCAGCTGTGGTAAAGAGCAGAAGGGACAGGAATACTTTTAAGGAAAACTAGGTCACTTTCATAAAAAGATGACCACCACTTTAAAATGCCAGTATACTTTGTCTTTGCAGGATGCATTTTGCTTTGTTATATATATCCATTAAAATGTTTGCATCAGTGCAGATTGCATTGTAGAAGTCTAGTCAATGGTAATAAATATTGGCTGACCAACAAATGCTGTCACACATTGGCCCAGTGCTGGTACAAAATTGTGAAATCAAAACATAACAGAGAAATTCTAAATCAAACTAATACTAATGATCTTAAAATGTAACATGTCAGTCAGACATTGCCATGTAAAAACCAATAACCAGGTTAAAACTGGATCCCAAATCCTATAACTGGTTTACTAAAATAAAAAGGATATTAACATTGCCACTCACATTTTTACTAGTTATGATCAAAATTACATTTTCTAAATGAGTTTTAATTATGAAAGTTTTTAAAATAAAAGAAATTTAACTGTCAAATTCTCTATAGCTTATATTGGATTTTAAAAAATATCTAATAATTGACATACACTTTTGAATGATTGGTGTTTGTTCCGCAATATTTTATGATACTGATTGAGAACTGCAAGCCAATTGTCTTTTTCCTTTTCATTTTCACAAAGTAAAAAAACTGTATATGGAGTGCCAGGTGGGTTCATTTCCGATGTTGTAACCTGCAGACAATAAAGATGCATTTCACATAACATTTTGAGACATGATCTTTTTAAATTTTAGATGTTGAATGTGCAATTTCATTTTTGAAATAATACCTTTACGACATTCATTTCTATACTTTTTTTACTTATAAATTATTAGCTTAGATTACTTAACTATAAAATAGTTCCAAAGAGACAATGTTAACTTACACGAAAAATGCAAGGAATATCTTTTTTATTGGCATGGATAACGTCACTTGGTAACACTGGTGAGGCAGAAAATTCTTCATCTCTGAAAAGGTTATTCCCAATAAATCTTATAAAAACTTCAATTTTAATATTTATGTTCTTTTTTAAATAATATCTTTGAACTATATCTAAGCAAAGAAATTTTCAAGCTACATGGAACAGAACTTCTTGTTTTGCTCTTACCTCATATCCACAACTTGTTGTAGTTGATGAGAGGGACAATTTTTATTTTCTGGAACCTCATAAATAAACAACTTGAAATCACAGACTACCAGGTATTCCCTTGCCCATCCCCTCTTGATTCCTCCTGGCTTGGGAATCTGAATTGTTAAAAATCGGTTTTTAGAAAACTTTTTAATTCAATAACATTCACTCCGAAAATTACACAAAGTTCAATGGAGTTGACCGTGACTACCATCTCTTGACAAATGAAATACTCACTTTCACAAAACCTTCATAAACAACGCCTTGACCTTTGGAAACTTCAGCTCCATAAGGACGTTTTGCTGTTGAAGAAATTCATGGAAAATAGTTATTATTTATATTATTAATATGTAACTTTCTTAGCATAAACTTGGAACCTAACAAAAAAAGGCATACACCCACCCTAACCCCTAGCTACTATCCCTTATTTTCTCTCATGTACAACTCAAGGCCAATGCTCCCCTGCCATCTTCCCCTTCAAAAATCTCCTACCAATTAAACCCATACTTCTGTTGAGCATTTACAAATCAACATTATATAGTTTGTTTTTTAATGGCCACCAGTACCTTGATAACAATTCAGATGTGAATTAGAAAATTTGTTTTAAATGAATTTAAAAAAACTGTTTAAACTATACTGTTATCCATACCAATATCAGGTGGAACTGGACACATCTGTGGACATTTGTTCTTGCAACTCACATGACAGGAATAGCTACAGGCTGTTGAAATTCAAGTTTAACTTGTATGATAAAAATGAATCACTTCAAACTAATTGCACATATTATTATTAACCCTTTCGAAAGATCCAATTTTCATATCTAGAAAAACTGTTTTGAGGACCACCTTTTAAGGATCATACTGAACAAAAGTTGTTTAAATCTTAAAAACAAATTTAATCCATATTATTATTTTTTTTTTTAAACAAAGGTAAACACAACTATTATTTAACATGATTTTTGCCCATAACTATAAACAGAAAAGATATAATGTAAACAAACTATCATGCACCTTCAACATCAAATATGTATAACAAAAACAAGGTTTCCCCATTATCTTATTTAACTAATATTAACATTAACTGAGTCAAAATTTAACATATTGGAATCGAAAGGGTTAAGGTGTGTGCATTTTCTAATGCAATAAATTATTTTTATAACATTCTAATACAACATTTTCTACCAATCAGAAGTGAAATTTTCCAAAAATTAAATTTGATGATAAATTGTTTTAGTACAGTTAAAAGAAATGATTTACCTTCACATGTTATGCCTTGTCTTTGGAGACCAATAAGTAAACTAGTGCAGAAATTGCATTTGTAAGGAGTTTGGAAAGACTTGACAATAAATCTGATGAAAATATTACATCATTAGGTTACATAAAAAATACTAAAATATGCAAAGTGTTGTATTTATAACCATTTATAAAACGGAGCTCACAGAAAATAATAGTTTAGATAAAATATATTTTAAACTATCCCAGGAAAAAACTACTTACTTAAAATAATAACTATAAAATGTAACTGGTAAATTTTATATTAAGCACAAAAAAGTATATTCCTCAGAAATAAGTATATGTAAATGACCTGATATTAAAGGGTAAAGAATATTAGGACCATACTTTATTTAAAATTTATATTCACTCAAGGCTCTTATATGGTCCTAATATGGATTTTTCTACAACATCCTGCCAATGTCTGCTTTGAGAAAAGCGCATGGAATTCAGTAGAAACATTATTTTCCCCTACTTTCATTCCCATTATTACTTATGTTTATTCTTTGGTCAATACTTAAAATAAAATATTTTAAATGCAAAACAATAGTTTAACTACTGATATTACTAACCTGTGAGATTTTATTTGAGGCTTTGATGCCCCTGATGGTGAGTTTGGGTGTTCTGGGCTACCTCCTTTACCCCATGGGGGCTCATAGACAGGTTCATAAGGCTGGGTGAAGTGTGATTCTTGAGGTATAGAGTGTTCAAAGTCACTCCCTCCTCTTAAATCTGACCGTGAGTCTGTACGCGAGTCTGTCCTTGATGTGTTGTCAGCTTCACTATCTTCTTCCCTCTCACTATCATTGGCAGCCTGCTTTAAGTATTGATTTAAGCATTGATTTAAAAACTATTGCTTAATAGAATAATAAAATAATTTAAAAAATTTATATATATGCTAATATTTTCTTATCTTTTAAGTCAAGCCAAAACTTGTTTTAGTAATTTATTAATGATGCTGACTATTCTTGATTACAAATGGTTCTTTAAAATTCACACAGACAATTATATCTAAGTTATTATTCTTTTCAAACGGATTATTAAATGAATTAATATAAATCCAACTGATGATAAAAATGAAAATAACTACTCTCAAAGTTTAATAATGTTTGCCATAAGTTATAAGCCATCATCAATATTCAATATATTTATTATAATATTAAATTTATTATTAAACGCGAATGTTTAGATTTGAAACCAAAAGTATTTTGTGAAATCTAAAAATAAATGTTTTTAAAAAGTTACTCACCTCGGGCATTAATGCATATCTATCATTAAGGTATTTGAATATTGAGATTGAGGAGTTTTCATCTTGTTGATCCCCTAAATAAAAAAACAGGTAAATTTATTGTTTTGAATAAGTCTCTTTTTCTTCTATATTTAAATGATGTAAAAACCTATTAAAGTAAGGCTGCGACTATTCGCACCCGGGTACCAGAAGTGAGAGATTGGGATGAAAAACTATTTAAAATATTATTGTTGGGTTTATAAGACAAAATGAGGTATCAAATGAAAGATAATTGAATGGAATATATGTTTGTACACTTACTTCTTCAGTTTAACTAAAACTACTACAAATGACAATAGCACTGGTCTAAAGAAACCCGGATGCAAATGGCGGCACTGCATGTCCGGGGCCATTTAGACTAAATGCTATTCGAATGTCATTCGTTGTAGTAAATCATATTTACTCCTCCCCTCAACTCTCATCCCCATATCCACCCATGCACAAAATCTCCTAGATCACCCCCCTCCTCTTTCCCCTCTCAGTGCATACATAATTATGGAAGGTCCTCAATTAAAAAAATTACAACCAATCGTATTTCTGTCTATTCACCCCCTGATGTTACCGGATGTTAGCGGCTGCAACCGAAAATGTATGATAAAGTTACTTGTCTAGCTTTGTTTTTTTTGTTGTTTTTTTTTAAAACAAGATGTATATCATTGAAATCATCATTCCTTGCAGCAATGCTATTACTATTAATATTGCTTATAGAATTCTACTAACAGTATTAATGCCATAGACTTTTTCAGTCTGATTTTGAGTAAGAAAATTATTTTAGCCCGTAAACAGATTAAAAGTCATAGAGTGAAAGAAGTTTTTCAAAAATGATATGTGACTTACATTTACTTATTCCTCTATGATGCTGTTGTTGCAAGTTACTGATTTGGCCCTCCAAATTGGTAATTTTGATTTTCAGTTCCTCATTCTGCCTGCCATATTCTAGCATTTTGCTGTTGATTTAAAAAATAATTATACAAATTGTAACATGCTACATAACTAAAATTTTGTCAGCAGAACTGAAAGGTACAAATTTTACAAATTAAAGTGAAGCTCTACCAAAGAGAATGTAATTAAATGTTTTGTTTCAGTAATTTTTCACTGTTCTATCGAAAGTAAATCTCCTGATCAGTTTACAATCACAGCTTTAATCACAAGTTAAATGTATATTAATAATATAAGATCATTTTTTAAAATTTTGGAAACACTAAGTCTAATAACAGTTTGAAGGAGCCTAAAAACCACTGGAAACTTTACAAAATTAAATTCTGCTAAACTTTTTAATTAATCTTTGGCTAAAAATGCATCCTAAAGAAAATGTTACTTTGAATAATATAAAATAAACAAACTTTTCAACAGTAGCAAGTTCATCTTTGGTTCTTGCCAACTCATCTGTTATTTGCTGTTTCGCTGCAAGTTCAGACTGCAGATTTGACTGCAAATTCAGCAACTCCATTCTGTCTAATTTAGCAGAGCGACGATTCCTCCATCTTGGCCTTGTCTATGAAAAAAAATTATTAAAATTTAGTGATGCATTAAAAAAAAGGAATATTTCAAGATATTATTATGCAAACCAATAAATATCACACTGTTATTTATTTTAGTCATGCAAATATTTTTTAATGCTTAAATATTATAATTGTTCATCTTTTGCACACAAAGATGATTAAAGTTTGAGAAGTAGCCTTGACTTGAGCTATATTTTGTTAAAAGTGAGGGTGAGTTGCTCAACTTCTCATCCTTGCCTATTTGATCCAATGGCAAGAATTAGTCAAGATGATTGGCAATAGACAAGGATGCAGTAGATGATCAGCAATTGTTTTTTTTTAATGTTTCAATGCTCTTAATGTGTTATCATGATGCAGTTGTCGGAATTTTCATTGTGACATTGTTACTGGACTCCATCCCTGGTTTCATTTCAGAGTTTGCCTCCTCTTAGATGAGTTGCCATCCAAGAATCAACCATTAATACTTTAATGTTGATATGATGACAGCTGCTGTTTCAATTTTATCTTTAAAAAAAAGAATACATTTTGTAACAATTTATTTTTAAAATGTTCTTACTGCATCATCACCAGAAACACCCATAACTTTCAGATTCTCAAGCTCCTCTGTCATCTTTGTAGCAAGAGCTTGCAAGTAGCCTCGAGCATCTTTTTCATCACTGACCCTGAAACAAACAAAAAATTAAACTGAATTTGATGATAAGAGATGTTGGGTTTAAATAAATTTTTCTGCTTTCAGAATACAGAATTACATTCACAGAAATTTAATACACTCACCACTTGATGATTTCAGATATCTGTGCCTCCCATTGAGCAACTGACTCTCTCTTGTCATAAATGTCTTTGATCTCATCCTCCATTTGACTCCTTTCTTTCATCAAATTGTCAATGCGATTTATTTGCTTTAAAAAAAAAATTGCACATAAAATCAAATAATCATTTTTTTTTCAAAACAAATTAAAAAACTATTTAGCATTTAAAATGGAAGTTGGATGGTGCAATAGAGCTCAGAATAGCGTATAAAGCATCATCATGTTCAAAGAACAATCATTTTCCTCATTGCTCCATGCATTGTATAAAAAAAAATGCCTTTTGAACATGCCCTCGTTTTAATTTTGCTAAAGGGTAAAATTAAAGTTATTACCAATAATTTTTTTAAAAGAAGAGCTATAATTCACCACTGCTACTTCTTAAATAAGTGTACTTACAGAGGTGGATTCCTCTTGCAACCTCTCATTGTCATCTTCCAGAGCCTTGATTTTGTTTTCAGAAGTCTCTAACTGAGATTGTAGAGTAGCTATCTGCTCTTTCAATTCTTTAGAATTTAGCTGTTCTGTTAACTTTGTCTGAAGTCTTTTTATTTCCTCAGCCAGATCTGAGCGCTTCGTTTCACTTTCCTGTAATTGGTACTTGATACCATTCAGTTCTGTTGAGTACTTGCTAGTCAACTGGGCTCTTGTGTCTTCATTTTCTGCCACTTCTGCTTTTAATCTGAGAAATATTTAACAATAAATTAACACTTTTTTTGTTTTAAGTGTCCTTTGAAATTAAACTAAAGTCATGTTCTCAAGATTATTTATATATAACAATCCCCACAAAACAAAACAAAAATAGAATTGAACTAAATATTTTCTGGTATTAATTTAAATTTTTGGTTATTAAACAAATAAATAAATACAATACAATCATAATCCCTTTTCCTAAAAGACTACTTTATTTCACTTCTATCAGATACCCATTGCCCACAAGATCATTGCATAAAGAGAAAAATGTGTTACATTTTTTGTCTAAATCCATCTTCTAATGTGAAGGTTTTGAAAAACACAGATGAAAATGAATTCTAACAAATCTTTGGGTAGCTCAGTATAGTGTATATTAATTCAAAATGGCTTCATAAACTGGCGCCACTGATTCATCATAGCTCACCCCTTCTATATTGATATCTATGTGAAATTGATAAACCTAGCTACTATTTGTAAAGAAATATTTTCACTTAACCAGACCTGTTTACCCCCAAACCCTTAAAATCGTACAATATCATCATATAATGGTTCAATGCATTCTCTTTATAGAGCAAAAACGTGCTGTATATATAATGTATACACCTCAAAATCGTACACTGTACGCCAAAATCGTAAGAGTAAACAGGTCTGCTTAACTCTTTCCCTCTGGAATTATTTTCCAGGTTCTGACGGAATTATCTATTTTGGGTTTTTTGTTACGCACTACTATGTTTTCTCTAAACCTTCATAACTTATTTGTTTTTAATCAGAAAATGTTAATTTTGGTATGGAATTAAAGGGAAATGCATGCTCTTTGCAAGCAAACAAGATTTGGGTTTAAATTTTAATAAATAAATGTGATTGTGATTTAAGGAAAATAAAAATTTATTTTAAAAAATTACCAAATGTTCACAAAATGCTCATTCCAAGTCACACGAAGAGAATATATAATCCAAAGTGTAACAAAAATGTTTTTTTTCTGAACTATATCCATATGTGCATCACAAATAATAAAGATCAACTTTCAAAAAAGAAAAAATTAAACCTCAGAGCACATTATCCATTGTCACCGCCACACAAAAAACTAGCAAAAAAATTTAACTAATTCCACTGGAAACAATCTGTTGCTATTTAGAAAATAATTGCACTGTATCCTTGTATGTTTATCAAAGGGAAATCACTCTAGAATTGATTTAAAATAACTAAATACCAATAGCCAAGAAAAGAACCAAAATAAACAGGTTTTTATACATGGACGATCCTTACGCCAAAATCTTCATTTCAAAACGATGATGGGAGCGTTGATGCATATTTATACATTTCTTTGTATTTATTTGTGCCAGTCAATCTCTGTTAATCTTGTAAATATCAGTCACACACACATATATAATATATAGGATCACTTTTTGCAGGTTTTCTCATAAGTTACACTCCACTATTTCACTGGCTTTTTGCCCTATACAGTATATGTATATTTATTGTAATTTTTTCGGTAAAATAAGCATTTTCTAGCCTAAAGAACTGAAAGTAAAATAAATTAACAAGATAACTTTATATAACTTTTTATAAGAATGCATAAGGGTTTATTAAGCTTTACAATATATGTAAAAATCATACTTCATGTCTCAGAACATTACCCCACATTTTTGGGGTATTACTATATATATATGTTTGACTAAGGTTTTCAAGACGTAGAAAAATACCTTGATATTTCTTGATTGAGTTCAGCAACATTAGATGTAGCTGTTGATCGGCCAATATTTTTTCTTTTTAAATTTTCTATTTCTGCCTCTAAGTCTTGAGTATATTGCTCAGCCCGCTCTCTCAGCCGCCGCTCTTTACTGGATTCTGATCTTGATTCATCCAATTGGTTTTGAAGCTATGTTAAAAAAATTAATTTCATTAAAAAGTGCTTCATGCTAAATCAAAATAATTAAGTGAAAGTTTGATAAAAGTTAGAATTTCATGGGTATTAGATGGCCGACTGATTAAGCATAGATAGTAATAAGACCACTAAGACTAAGTACCATTTAGGCTAAAAAAAAATTTCATTTAATTTTTTTTAAACACAAACCTCATTCACAGTTTTTTCACCCTTTCTTTTCTCTTGCTTCAAATTTTCAACAAGCCTTCGCTGATCTTCAATTTCTTCTTCTTTGTTTCTTACTTCTCTGGTAAGTTCCTTTACTTTTGATTGCACCTTCAATAGCCTAAAACAAAGTACATCAACATTTTAAAATACATAAGATAAGAAACATTTATTTCTTAATAAAATATTCTAATACAAGCCAGTATTTTCCTCTCAAATTTTTATTCCTTTCGTCAGATATTTCAATTAATAAAAACTTACTGATCATTTATTTCTGTATACTGTTCCATTGCCAACTTCTGCTTATTTAGGGCTTCTTTTAACTCTCTGGCTTGAGATCTGTATTTGTCTCGCCATTCTTGGAGCTCCTTGAAAATGTTATTTAAAAATAATTACATAAACATTTTGACATAATAATTTTTTTTTTCAAAATTAAACAATATTAGTTTTAAGATAAATAATAAAACATTTCACAATCAACTTTCACCCCATATTAGTGAGTTGCTTTGTTTTGTATAAGTCAGCAAGTTTAAATAAATGTTATTTTCTTTACAAACCTGAAAGTTAATATGGTCTGCCCACCCTCAGCTGACTAAAGTAGTTCTTATTCAGATGACAGACAAAATCATACCAATATCTGATTAATAGATTTAGGTAAAAATATTATCAGGCCAAACCTTTTCAAATGCTGTCTTTTCATCTTCTAATAAACGTAAGCGCCTTTCTTGGTCTAAAATGAGTTCTCCTGATCGCTTTAATTCAACCTCCAAATTGCTCACATCTGCCTGGGACTCAGATATAACTCGGTGAAGAACAGCAACTTCTTCTTTTAACTGTCTGGTTTCATCTACACCAGAAGCTGCCCCAATGCCATTAGCTTCTATGCTCTGTAATTGTGTAATTGTTCCTGTGAGCTCTGAGAAAAAGATTGTAGAGTAGAAAATGACTTTGAAGAAAGCCTCTAGAACCTTAACATATGTTTAAAATTCTTTTAAAATATTTTTAAAACTGGAGCTAGATGCACCTATCTTTTGAAAAAAAATTCATGGTTAATAAAAGAAACAATTTCTATTACCTTGATTCAAAAAATCTAAAAATTTTAAGAGGAAGCCATTTTATTGCTTTTCTTGTGTGGCATAAATCAGTCTGTTGTTATTATCTATTGACCAGTGAACTAGAAATTTTTTTTTTTTTATTTTTTTTTTTCATTAAATTTGGATTTTGAAGTGGTTAGCCTTAAAAGGAATATTTTTTCAATAAGCTTTAGTAGTACTTTTCAAACATTTCAGCAGAACTGGTGTCGGTCGGGCAAGGGCCGAGCTCTGTGAGGTTCTTGCTCAGCACCACTTGCTCGAGTGGTGTTACAAAGGATTTTGCCTCTTCGTGGCGTGACCGACTAGTGGGGGGGGGGGATTTTTCCCTTCTGAAGCTAAAAAATCCCAGTCAAACGCATGACTTCCTACGCAACGGAAGTTGCACGCTAACATGATTACGTGTCGCCGTGTCGGGTAAGGGCCGAGCTCTGTGAGGTTCTTGCTCAGCCCCACTTGCTCGAGTGGTGTTACAAAGGATTTTTCCTCTTCGTGGCGTTACCGACTAGTGGGGGGGGGGGATTTTTCCCTTCTGAAGCTAAAAAATCCCAGTCAAACGCATGACTTCCTACGCAACGGAAGTTGCACGCTAACATGATTACGTGTCGCCGATAATGGATATAAGGCTTGAGTTTTCTTTAAAAACCCTTGCTGAGGATTAAAAACATGCGGCCTTGAGAAAACCGCTCCTAGGCGACCGTTTCGTCCCGCCACAGTCCAGACCGAACCACTCCCCGAACGGTGGGTTGAGGTAACGCAACGCCTCCCCCGGAGAGGAAGAAAAGCCGTTTTGACCCATGTCCACACAACTCCCAGGAACGTTGGGAGAAAGTTAAGCTTGTGACTACTCCCAGAGTGGAGGCAAAGCTGTGCCACACCAAGGAACGTACGGCTCCCTGGGCGGTGGGGGTGGCAACGCAACACCATCCCCGGAGAGGAAGTAAAACCGTTCCAACCCAACGTCCAGACCGTAATGGGTAAGGGGGGTTGTGACGCAAAACTGTCGCCTCATGAGTGGAAGCAACCTACCCAAACCCCTGTTACTCAAGGCCATGTTGCATGGCCGGAGTCCCCAGGGACTACTAGGCCATGTTTCACGGCCAAGGTCCTAAGAGATAGAATCTCGACCTCTGAGTATTGACCTTTTTTAGCAGAACTGGTGTACACAAACTTTTTTTAATGGTGTTGAATGACAATTCTTATTTTTTTATTGGTGTTAAATCATAATCTCTTAGAATTGTTCAAATCCTGCAGACAGGTGACTAAGGGTTTGCCCATTAGCTCAGGGGTAGGGACTAACATTTTAGAGCACTGAGCTAGAAAACTTTGCTTTAAAAATATAACTTGCACTTACTTATAATTAACCTGCATAGTAAACAAAGCATACAACACCCGAACCAAAAATCTTCTTTTCTTAAACACATGGTATAAAACACAGATTCAATACCCGAAGAAAGTCATAAATGAACACCTGCAATGTTTTTTGTTTTTTTTTGCTGCTTAAATAATTGTTATTTTCACAATTTGTCATATGAGACACAAACAATTTTACTACCACCATATATGCAACAGGAAGCCATTTTCTAGTCTCACTTATGAAAGGATGTCTAAATTTTTAAGCATTGTGTACCTATTGTTAAACACTATCATGTAAACTAGCATCACCTTGCTTTCCTTGCAGACTTATACAAACTAAAATCAAGTACAAGTGCTATAAAATGGCTGTTATTGTTATGCTCCAACACTTCTGCATAGGTTAGCATGTTCACAAATTAGACTATAAAGCAACCATACCTTGTATTCTCTGATTTAAATCTCTGTTCTCTTTTTCCAACACCTTTATCTTTCGTTCAAAAATTTCACTTTGTACATCCCCTTTTTTGCCCTTTTCTCCTTTTACTTCTGGAAGAAGCACTCCTAAGTCTGACAGTTTTCTAGAATTTAAAAAAAATGCAGTAGAATGAACTGTATTGTTGTCACCGTTAAGTAATTTGAAAATTAAAAAGAATCCATTTGTTTACCTTAAATTTATTTTAAAATACGATTTGCTATAAAGAAATATTTGCCTTGTATGATTTTTTTAAATAGAAAACCTGAAATTTTTTAAAAATAAGCTGGACGTAAAAGTTATTCCTTTTTGGTGTGAATGTATTATCCCTAAATAAAAGGGGGAAAAAAATTAGAGGAATTCATGTCTGTTTGGCGTCTTAAAAGAATACACCAAAACATTCAACTATAAGAAACTAGAATAATTATTGTTAAAAAGTGGAAAAAATTATATTTTCTTGTCTTATAAAGAATACTTACGAATCTTTGGTGTAGGTAAACCCTACAAATGGTAAATGGTGACCTTTAAAATTAGCATGTGAGGTAGGTGGAACAGTATCCTGCATAAAGAAAAATTATTATTATTTAATCCTAATTACTAAGGTAGGGATGTTTATCGATAATTGCATTTTGGATCATTTGTTTTGAAAGCGATCATCGCTTGTCTTTTTTAAGAAACATTATTGATTATCAGAATTGATCTTTTTTTATATTTTGTGCAAAAATTAAAAATAGCAACTAAACAAATTTTTGATAAATAAACTTACGATTAAATTGTATATACTTTGTCATAACCCCAGCTATAAAAGTGGCTATTTTTTAAAATAAATTTGATCCATTTATAGCTTCTGTTCATGAATTAAATGTCAGCTGCTGCATGTTTGTAATTTATAGTACAAATTTTAGCTAATACAATCTGCATATATGCCAATCTGCATAAGGTCAGTTGCTATGAAAAACCATCAGCTATTGACATTATTTTTACAAATTGTAATAGCCAATTACAGCTGTTTGGTAGTATTTCTTAATATATTGGTCTCCACAGAAATATATACTTTAACATAAATGACTGTAAATCAATATAAATATAAATATATTTAACCACATACAGAAACTTACATTAATAGAAAATAATATCAGAGAAAGCCAATGTAAAGAAAACGCATAATATGTTTGAAAAAAATCAAATTTCTACCATTGCTTATCACTAATCAAAGGTATAGCATTTTATAAATAGAAAAAATAAAAAATTCAAGTGTTTATAGAGATTGAGAGTTAAAACACTTGAATTTTTTATTTTTTCTATTTTATTTGAACTAATGTATATAGAGATTGTGAGTGAATACATTAGTTCAAATAAATTTTAAGATTAATTTCTTTTATTAACTTACAGTATGTTTAAACTCCATGTCTTCCACATCAAAATTAGATGTGTCTGTGGCACTGGTCACTTCTGGTCGAAATGGTGGGTCCACTGTATTATAAAATATTCAATGAATAAACGAAGAAAAACATTCCATAAGTTTTACTTTAATTACTGATTTAAAAATGTAGATACCAAACTAAAAAAGTACTCTTTACAGTATGTGAATGAAATTTTAACTCAATGCTAATCCAAGAAGTCTCTATGTTATACTTACTATCCCTTATATTATCCCAATCTATAGAAGAAAACCAGAGATGATTTTTAAAATCTTCTAAGCCATTCTTGCCAAATCTATCATTTGGTGTACAAATTAGCCTACGTATCAAATCTTGTGCTTCTGAAGATACATCATCTACATCAGTTGGAAACTCAAACCGAGACTGAAAATATATTGTTTAACAGGACTAACTTTAACAAAATTAAGTATAAAAATGATGCTAATGATTATATAAATGTTAAATTAACTGCAGTACATCAATTTATGATATGGAAAAAAAAATATGCTAATTTCACTATCATTTGTTTTTATTAACTAATAGAAATGATTTGACACCACATGGCCTTTATATTGTTAAGATTAAATATTGCCCTTTTAAAAAACTCAAATATCCAGAAAAATAAAGAAAAATAACCCCATTAACACTACATAGATCAACAACCAATGTAAAAAGCTATAAATTTACATTTGCAAATTAATCTTACCTGATGATTCATGATTTTGCCATAAGTCTCAACGAGAGATTCTGCGTAAAATGGAGTTTCTCCATAAAGCATCTCATACATGCATACTCCCAGTGACCACCAATCACATTCTGGACCATAGCGACCATGTCCATCCTCCATTGCCTGTTAAAATTGAAAGATAACAAGCATGTGTATATATTAAATACTCACTTATAAAACATTTCCTCGTTAACATCAGTTTAGTAAAGTAAAGGATAACCAATATTTTTAATATAATCACTGATTTATCTTTTAATGTATGAGAAACCTTTTTAATAATGGTATGTGTCGAAAATACAATTTACAAAATTAAGCTTACACGAAGAATTTCTGGTGATATATAATCTGGTGTTCCAACCGCCACTGAAGATTGCACGGTACCATCTTCCATAAGCTTAAGACAAGAGCCAAAATCTGCTAAGACAATATGACCACTGCGATCAAGAAGCACGTTGTCTGGTTTAATATCTCTATGCACATAATGAAGTTCATGCAATGAATTGATGGCCAGCACCATTTCAGCTATATAGAATTTACACATGTCTTCTGGCAGACGATCCTCAAATTTACTAAGCAGCGTCAACAGATCACCACCGCAATAATAGTCCATAACAAGATACTATAGGAAAGAAGACAAAAAAGACTTTTAATAAGACGCAATACAATAGTTTAACAGACTTGTATATATCAATACATAAGTGACTTTGAAGAATGTCAAGTGTAAATTTGTTTTTATTATCTATTAAAATTATTAGAAACAATAAGAATTTAAGTAGCATTATCAAAAAAAAAATAAAATACCAAATAGTTATCATCTTGAAAGGCATAATGTAGATTGGTTATCCAGCGTCTGTCTCCATAAACAAGAACATCCCTCTCTTCTCTGAAGCAAGCAGTCTGAGGAATTATGGATAGATATTTATTGTGTTAATAGAGCAATCTTTCATAATTAAACTTCATGAAGAAATACTGTGCATCAATCTTCTCAAGTTTACATCATGGCTATGCCAGGGACATAGATAAGCCACCAAGAAGAGATTTACAGGCATCCTAATCCTGGACAAGTTTCTCCACCAACTTTCTCCAGTTTCTTCCATTATTTTTCGTGTCTGTCTCCTGATATAGCATGGCCTACCTCTGTTCCAAATGCCTTGGATTTCATGTGAGGGCCTGCTTGATATTCAATAGTATGTATTAGATCCTTGCCATAGTTTTTTTATGATTTCTTATTCCCCAGGTCCAAAGTTCATTATGCTAATAATATTGGAGCATGATTTCTAAGGATTTCCTAAGTTAAATGGTCAAAATGCTTCTATTTTTCTTTGAATTTTGTTGTAATATTTCTCCAGGTCTCCACTCCATAGAGTAAAAACAGACTTCATAATGATGATAAGTACCCTGACATTTCAGTTAGTTGGAAGCTGCTCTTGTCATTTCAGTTCCCACTTTATATCTGTCCCTCTTTGTTAGTTAAAATGTTGCCACAGTAGGTAAAACCATACCCATCTTCCAGTCCTTCCTCTACAAGCCTTATAAGAATACTCCACATTGTGATGACCCGGATGACTTGACATCTCTGAGGATGTTCAGGTAAATGAAAGTAGAATAGTGATATACACCAATGTTCTGCACCTATTTTATGGTTTACAGTAGAGCCAATAAAGTTGAACTATTTCCCAAGTTTCCATTGTATGTGGGTTTATTTCCATTCTGTAGATAACATTCTCAGTCTACATTTCAACCCATCAAGTGAGATCTGTGATTTTTATAATCTTCTGTGGAACTTTATTTTGTCTGAACAACGTTCATGGAGTTGGTCTATCCCTAATTATCAAATGCCCTTATTGACTTAGAGAACGAAGTGCCATTCAAGAGATGGTTCGAAGATATTGCATATAAATGTGAATCGGACATCAATGTGATACAACAAATAAAATCCTTAAATAAGATTATAAAATATTTACATTTAGATCATTAAATTTTATTCCATTATTAATTTGCAGAAGTCTCTCTTAATGAATCATAAAATATTTAATTCTAAAATTAATTTAGTTTGTTTTACCTCAGCTCGTTTCAACATTTCCCATTTGTTCAAAATCTTCATAGCATATACATTTTCAGTTGATTTGTCCTTAACAACAGCCACCTAAAAATCATGGGGGAAGATAACAATAAAATAACAAACAATTCACGTTTCCCATTAAACAATCTTTTTTTTTCCAAAACACACATTTTTAAAAAACTGTAATTAAAAATTTGAATTCTGATGAGAAATTACTAAATGTACGTCATATAATCCATTAGTGTAAATGAACTGAAGTTTTTAATGGTAAATCTTATTTTACATAAAACAAATTAAAAAATATTGTAAAGGCATACATACCTCTCCAAAGGCCCCACGACCAATAATTTTAAGTGTTTCAAAGTCATCTCTCTGCAGCCTATGTTGCCGAACAAATGTTGATACAGGGCGAGCTGAAATATATATAAGTATGTTATTTTATTATATCGGTGAACGCTCCTTCTGCTTCCATGGGCCCACGTTCTGGAACCAGCTCCCCTTCCATATACGTCATAGTGAAACCTCGTCCATTTTCAAAAAGTCCCTTAAAACTCATCTGTTTAGGTCCGCCTATAACCTGTGATGCACCCTCCTTGCCCTACCTAATTTTCTGTTTCGGTTTAATCCTGAAGTGTCAAAGTGTCCTCTTTTTATAGCCATTTTCATTGTTTCTATAGATATCATCAATGATAGGATCACAGACATTTGTATTTACTTAGTTTACATGTTTTAATAACTGTAAAGCGCTTAGAGCTTTATGATAAGCGCTATATAAAAATGCCTAAATAAATAAATAAATAAATATTTGTTTCATTATTCAAGGTGTAACTTTGTACTGAACATTATTAATAATAAAAATGTATATATAATTTTTACATAGTCTGGCAGTATCTTACTACTTTAAAATAAAATTATTTTATTAAAAAAGAGGGGAAGACCAAAAGAGACATTTTGCTGCTTCCACAAGGAACCCTTTTGGAGAGAGCATGAGGACTGAATGAAACTCTTAAAATGAGTTTTGAAGATAGTAATTTAGCTTTTAAAAATATATCCATCCCTTATATTTCTACCTGAACACTACATGATATGAACTAATTTAAGCAAAAAGATGTAACCTTTTTTTTTTCCAAATAATGCATAATGGTTTTGAAATGCAATCAGGTTCTTTTTCAATTTTACTTACCAAATTCAACAAATTCACTAATGTTCTTCTCTCTCCGTAATGCTGCACTGTTGCATTCATCATACAAAACTAATAATGAATCAAGGAGTGTTTCAACACTCACACATAATCCATTGCTTTTGGCAACTCCCCTGAGATATATCTCCTCCAGGCGTTTTAGCCTCTTTTCTGCTGACATCTCTTTCTTGTTTCTATTAGTCAAAAAATTTTAATTTAACAACCCGATTCATTCAAAACTGTTTGATCCAAAGCTTTTGAGATCCGGGAGATAGTAACAATATGATGCCAAATAGGAGATGAACAAGTGAATATACATCCAAGAAATATCTGTTGTACCCAATAAATTAATGGTTGACAATCAGTTTCTTTTTCATCCACATTTATCCAGTGAAAATGAGTAACAAATAATGAATGGTTGATCTATTTTCCAGAGGTAGTTCTGAATTTGTAAACCTATGGTTAATGTTTGTCATTTCCTGTTGAAAAATAAAAGAGAGAAAAAAGGTTTATTGCTTTATTTAGGCATTTGCCTAATGGATTCATTATTATATTATAAACAAACTGAATTTAATTTTGTTGCAAGGCCTTCCAAAAAGTGATTGCTGCATTTCAAAATTAATTTTACATGTCAGACACAAAAATAAGTAAAAATTGTACAATTCAATAACCCAAACTGTCCAACATATTTTACTTTTTTTTTTTTTAACCAACAAAATATTTTTTCTCAAGCTGCTGCATAATCATATTAATCCATAAAATTCAACAATTGTTATTGACATTTTCACACATAAACATTATTAACCCTAAGGCTACACAATACTTAACAGTTTGAACTTAGGCTTTATAAAAAGTACTACTATTACAATTCAGTTAGCCTAGTTGGCAATTTGTTGATGCAATTAAATTTAGCTAACTCTTTGCTAAGCTTGCGTAGAACTGTACAATTACAAATTAACTAGTATTTATTGTAATAATTACAAATATCAGGAAATGCAATAATTAGACTAACCATCATATTGTTTAAATATGCTTAGAGAGATCTCATTGATCTGCTATCATTTAACTGAAGAAATTTCTAATATGCTAAAGGTAGAGTTAAGTTAAGTAAGACGTATTTCTTGTAGCCTATACTAAAATACCAAAATGTATAATATAATAATTTTCCTCTTCTCATTGAAATCAACTCAACCATTTTACTAAGAATCTGTTTAAATTATGGTTAGGCCTACCCTAAATAATATATAGAACAAAAAATTAGATAGTGCTAAGTAGCCCAGGAAATAACAAGTCAACTTGCCAAAAGATTTAAAGTATTTTGTAATCTATTAATTTTAACAAATTTTGTGTCAACCTAGAGAACAAAGCTAAATTAAAATACATTACTTTTTAAAATTATTAATACGTAGGCCTATATGAATATAACTTCAATAAATAACAATATATAATGCATATGTATCTTTAAAAGTTTTTTTAAAATGTCTTTATTGGACCCTCCACAAACCTCTCCAAAACTGATCTAAATGACAGTTTACACACAAACACTTTTTAAGTGAGCCTATTAAAGTATAGTCTAGACAATTATTGTAAATAATAATTTTAATTAGGCCTACTAATTTGCAAAAGTAGTTAATATTGTGATTAACAAATAATAAAATAATATCATACATAGTTAAATAGGCATGGGCTACAGCCTACGCTTAACCCTCGGGAGACGGAGCCTTTTCGGGCTGTCTGTGCCAAAAAGACGGGGCACTTTTTACAAGCTCGGCACTCGCATTGCAAAAAAATTTATAAAAAATAAACTATTCCCTTAATACATGTAAAACTATATATATTCTTGTAGGAAATTGAATGAACTAATGCAATCTTTATGAATCTAACTGAAATATAAACATTTATGGAAATTAGCTATCCTGATTTGCATAATTTATGCGTGTAATTTTTTGTTAAACCTAGAATAAACATGACTTACTTTTATCAATGTGTGAATTTTTTTATGGATGAGGCCTGAATAAGTCCTAACACTTATGTTTTTGGGAAACAAGGCCCATGGAGGCCCTTCAGATATATCTGGCACATGGTTCTACTCCATTTCAGCCCCCCCCCCCCTATTTTTCAGTTGTTACAGACACACTGCAACAGGCCCCCATTTATGACCTAGGGACATTCTCTTAAGCTGGATGTTACTGAGAAAGTTATTGGTATATTGGCATATCTATTGGTCTCTCTCATAAACATTTGAGTGATATTTAGTGTAAAAATAGCATAAAGTACTCAAATGGGGTTCTGATGCCTTATTTATAGGACTTATGTTGTCTAAAAATTCAGAGGGGTCATCTCTGTCCATTTGAGGACCCCTAATACTAGTAATACTAAACCAAAAGTTCACAACATTAGCATTACCCTCAATTTGAAAATCTTCATTAATTTCCTGGTTGTTTTCATCAGTTTCAGTGTCAGATTGACTGCTAGAATATCAAAATCACTACGCACAGTTTGATCAGAGTCACTGTCAGACATGTTCAAATTTCACGATATAACTATACACACTCACCAAAAAAAATTCCTGGACACAAATAAATCTGGTTCCCCATCAACGAACGCCACCATTACAATGCCAGGATATGCAGGAATACATAAGAATAATTTTTATTCGCTAGTACAACGCCAAGCCAGCCAATTGTGAGGCTCGATTTATCAGGCCGATGGTTCGGACTTACGACTTTCTCTCTTGTCAACCTTGGGCCGATAGACTCTTACGTCTCCAGAGAGTTAAACAGTTTACAGCAATTGGTCTAGGCCTAGCCTACTGAATTCCATAATATAAAATAATGTATTATTTATTATATATTATATAGGGCTTGCCCTATATATAATTTGGTATATTATTATTTATATCAGATGTAGAATGTAGATGCTAAGATTATGATGGGTACTTCAGTAGTTGAGCTGTATCAGGTTTTATTAGAATTTTACCTTAAATAAATTAATAATATCCAATAAATAGGCTTAAATTGTGATAATTACTTCATAAATGGCATGCAAATCACCCCATTGTCATAATTCGATTCAATGACTCACGACTATAAGTTTAGTAACAGATCAAGGCTAAAAAAGTTAGTAAATTATTACTAAATTGTGGACTCAAGAAGCAGAAGACACTTCCCCCATTTCATTATGAACACTAAGAGAGTGGGAGATTTTTAATAAAGAGATAAATATAAATTAACCTATTGAAATTTGCCAGTCCTGTGTGTCCTTTATAGTAATCTCAAATCATTCCTTTTATAAAAAGCCATTAAATGGTTAAGATTTGTCCGTACTGATCGTTTCAATGACTTTCCTGGTTCCACAAATGCCATAGGCCACAAACATGGCGTCCGAGTAAAATCATAAAAGCATGATGGGATTGCAAGCCCGTTCATTATAAAATAGTTCGTAAAATCTTTTTCCAATATTTTAGAAATTGAAATATATAATTTCCGCAAATCACGATTTAACCTAAACAATTAATCTAAATTGATTAAATTATCGTTTAAAAAAATTAAAACGGCACTTTAACTATACAATTGAAGCATAATTGTTTTCCACAAAAATTTTGCGCAATTCAAAGTTAACGAACGCCCCTTCTTTGGTCTTGTTAAAATGACGTCATTTGATATAAGACTGTAAAGAATTGATTTTATTTACAATAATTAATAAACGGCAAGTAAAAACCATCTATATATCATTGCAACCATAAGCTATATATATATATATATATATATATATATATATATATGCATATATATATATATATATATATATATATATATATATATATATATAAAATAATAA